GCGTTCTATACGAAATAAAAACTCGAAATCCCTCCTTTTCGGCAAACAACGCTACTTTCGATTAGAGAGGAAGATTATGCGGGAAAAAGGGGGTTAATCTCCGGCCCTCGTCTTTCTTCCCTTTACGCGGCGTAACCATGCCTCCTCCGGTTCTCAACCCCCGTCCTAGCCGTGGCGGCTGAATTCACAAAGGGCGAAGGGTCCACCCTTAGGTCCGGAAAGACGAAGCCTGACTGGTCGGTCGTTCGGCAAAGCGTCACGATAGGTCGTAGGGTGTGGTCCGCCACTTTTCTGCTATCGAGGCTCGGTAAAAGAAGAAGGGTCGTAGCTCGATCGATTTTCCGCTCTCTCCCTCCATCATCGGGAGAGGTCGAAAAAAGAGACGGACAGTACGTACGTACGCACGGCACGCATGCACGCACGCACGCACGTACGCACGCGGCGCAAAAATATTGTGCGTGCGTGGCGCGGCGCGGCGTCGAAAAAGTTCCGGACCCGGATCAGTGGTGTGCGTGTCTCTCCGCGCGAGGAGAGAAACCGCGTATCGTCTCGTCTCGTCTCGTCTCGGGCGCGCGTCCGGAGGCTTTAATATACATACATCTCCGCGCGAGTTTCTTCTCTTGCTCCTCCCTACCCTCCTTCCGTCCTTACTTCCGCCGCGGTTTCCTTCGTCTCGCGGGACGTCGAGGCATCGAGCGTCAAGCACGACGACGAAATGAGAGCTCGACGATGCGCGCCTCGCACCTGCGTACAAGACGCGGAAGCACGTCGATGCATCGCACGTGCACGCGGCGCAGCCAGGAGAGGAGAGAAGAGGAGAGGAGAGGAGAGAGCGAGTGAGTATAGAGACGCGACGAACGCATCGGCCGGATCAAGGGTTTCGCTTTTTAACGCGAGAACGTTGATCCGTGAACGATGCTCTTCGCTTACCACATGCCCGACATCGATTTCACCCCCGCGGATGCCCCGCGCGCAATTTTTGCTCGTTCATACGTCAAGGACATCGTAGCAGGGGCGGATGGAGCCGGCTTCAGAATTGTCGCTTATTTGATCGGAACGTTGTATATCGTTGTATCGCCGATGGAGGCAATATTTTATGTTCCCCGGGGACGATTCCGCCGGACTAATTCCGGTTTCCAAAGTACTCGTCCCGCGTGTATAAATTGAATTGTAAATGCGCGAAAGAGTCGCACGGTAGCCCACATGGACATTATGCGCGCGCGACCCTTCGCACGAGACACCCACGCGAATCACCGCGCCGACTATTATACGTCGGGAATGCGGATCGACACGTCGCTCGGCCATCGATTTGCCCGTCCCATTTACACACTAATTTCAGAATTCGATCGTACGCGCGGGATAGGTGATCTCTGAAATTAATCGTTCGACTCATCCGCTTGTGATGCTCCAGTCGCTTTCGACTGAAATATCTTGATTGTTTTTCAAGAAATTTAATTGGATTCGAGAACAAGTTGCCACAGATGTTAGGCCACAAAATGGCGGAAAACATCAAGCTCGCTTTAATCATGCTTATTAGAATATTGAGATTGACACACCTTTTAAGTATTTTTTAAGGATAAATGTTTTATTTTTTTTTTAAATAGATTGTACGAATTTATTAAGAAAGTAAATTTTATTTGAAGATTATTTTATAAACTCATTAAAGTGCGTGATATCTCACATTACTTTATCTTTTTAATTGTTATCAATATTTTGGATACTCAATTTAAGCTAAACATTTTTATAAATCGACAAAAGTTTGCTAAATGTTTACAGATCCCTATTCTTTGCAAATAATTATATATGTTGATTAATATGTTTAAAATATATAATAATTATATATGTTGATTAATATATTTAAAATAAAATTTAAATTAAAAACTTATATTATAAGGATTTTAAACACATATATATAGGCTTGTTCAATTGCAAGAGCTCTAATTTTTGTTGCCTCACTTTTTTATCTCTTTTTTGTATATTAACCGATAATTCAAATACATATGCAATTAATTCGAATGAAATACGTAAGTATTTTTACCACAAACAATGAATTTACAATAATAAAATGAACTATAAGTTTCAAAATAAATATATAATCAGTAATTAATATATTTAATGAAATTTCATGAATAAATGATTTTGAGAAAATGCACGTGAATTATCTTTTTAATTAATTAAGCAGAAGATTTAATAAATTATACATTCTTTCATTTTCAATCTTTCATATTCGCCAATGAGGTTGTAATGACACAAAAAACTAAAACTGGATATTTCGTCTCGTTTATTTCGCAAATACCGACCGCGAATATCTCGTGTGCATCTTCACGCAGTCACCTTTTATCTCGTTCTCTCGACAACATTTCCGGCACACCCGTTATTTCATGGCGTGCATAAAATCACTGAGGATGACTAGATGCACTTCTGGTACTTAACGTAATGAATGAGGCGAACAGAATCTCGAGGCCGACGGACGGTTGTTAAACGCTTCCGACACATTTTAATACATAATAAATCAGCAAAAACGTCCCACTTTGCGGAAGTCATAAAAAAGATCGGGTTAAAAAAGTAGCTCGATTTTTCACTTTAAAGATTTTCTTCTAAAAATTTGTTTGCTAAATATACTCTAAATTTTTTAGAACGTTTGTAAAATTATATATAACTTATATTTAATACTATATATATAAATATAAATATATATTTTATATAAAAAAATTAATGGCATATAAATGACGAATTTTACAAACATTTTTTCAAGTGTTTATAAAATCTAAGTAATAATTCTAAGATTACGTAATTATAAATTATAAATACAGAGTCTCAAATCGAATATCTTTTTAATAACAGGTTTTCTGGTCAATTCGAGCATAATTTTTGAAAAAAAAAGCTAAACACTTCGTAAAATTACAGAATTAACAAAGGTAGATTTTTTCTTTAATTAATTTCAGGAGTTTATTTTAATAGAATTTTAATTATATTATATAAAAATATGTAATAGCAAAAATTGATATCCTTTGATATTTTCGTTGAGTAGAAATCTAAACATTAGAATCTATTATTAAAAAGACATTCAGTGATTTCGTACTTCGTATATATAAAAATTTTTTAATATTAATAAAGTTATATACCTAATAGTGGAATGATAACTAGAAACTTGTTTGAAATTATTCGCCCATTATTTAAAAATAAGACAGAATTAAAAAAAAAATTGAAAGAAACCTGTACAATTTTTTTACATATAATACAAAAATTATACAAAATAATTTGATAATCAAATTTTGCCCTCTCTCTATTGTTTTTATATGTATTTTTTTTAATTCTAAAATTTTCTCATCAAATTGCTTCATCTAATTTTTGTACTGTAAATTGATCGACTTCCTGCATTTAAAATAATTTGCCTTTTTAATTCTATCCATTTATTCTTAAATAACAGCTGCGAATATAGTTTTAATATTTCTTAATTGTCAATCTGTACAATATAATTTCCATCAATTAAAATTCTATAAAAGAAATGACGAGCATAATAAAATTCTCGAAAATATTTTGCGAATAGCAAAAAATGAGTCAATAATTATTTTTGAAATATTTTCAGATGCCACGCGTCTTACGCGGCGGATGTAAGAGCGGGAAATGTTGGGGATGATTTGGGCCTTAGTGGTCCTGTGGTGGCTGCGTTTGAATCCTACTGGCCTGCTAAGTCCCAAGTTATTCTCGGCCTAAGCGGGACGACCACCTCACCGACCGATCGAAAGGGAACGTCGGCGGAATATTCGATTAACTCTTAAAGCGAGACGTCCATCTCTTCGAAATGAATGATGGTAACTTAAGCCTTTTAATTACGCAATAAATATACGTCCACCTCTGGAGGCTATTAAAGTCGCTCTCTCATGTCATGTGTCGCATCTTGGGAGTAAGGGTATTATAACTGAGAAAGATATCCATTTTGGATTTTTACAATCATACGGATGATTTGTCTTTGAAGAGTGCCGCACTCTATCTTCTCTATATTATTAATTTAAAATTATCTTCTCTATATTATTAATTTAAAAAACTCACACGACGAATTGTAACAAAATATAGAATATGTCATTTCGTAATATATGAAAATAATATAAAGTATATATAGATAAATATATATAAGAGAAGAAAGAATATGTGTTATATGTGTCTTATATGTGTTAACTTTATAATTCTTGAAAATATTTTAAATATTTAAATATTTAAATATTTTAAATTATGATTTCTCATCTCTCTCAGCCATCATCCCTTAGTACATATGTGTATTCAATCATGTGTATAATATATAATCGATCATTTACAGCGATCTTAGACGATCAAAGGTAAAATATTGATTTGTACAATAAATCTAATCGTAATTAATAATTCACGCAGCAATTACTAACCGTCAATCCTCGCGTTTCCTAACCGTCTTTGTTTGTTAATTTCTTTGCGCTCTACAATTTCTCCGAAACGAAGTAAACTTGACCTTTTTTCAAAACAAAAATACACGGAGGATCGTTAAATTAACAGTGATCTAAATTGCGAATTTATTAACAAAGATGGATTATTTATATTGGTGAAATCGTGATTATGTGCACAGTTGTTTAAAAAATGAGGAAGCTCGAAATAAACTTAATTATTATTTATCGCTATATCAATCAGGAAATACCGGTAATTAATTGTATCGCTCGCTTATTAAATATAATTTAAAATTTAATAGCTTTAATTTTTACATCTCACTGTTAATTATAGGATACATTGCAGTTTTATGTCATAACGTATTATAAAATCTGTTGGAAAATATCGACATAAAAATTAATATCGATTTAATAATTGCGAAATATGAGACGCAGACTAATTTGTTGAGGCAGCTTTGGGGTTTCTATGCGGCATGTGCCTCGATACACAATGAACGCAATGCCCTTGGAAATCCCAAAGGAGTCCAACGCATCGCATCAACCTGGAGGAGAAATTTACAAGGAAGATGGTATTATCGGACTCACCGGTTTTGTAATATCCAACTGCTCTGTTCTGCGAAATCTCGGATGATATCCGCGCAAGGGGGTATCATTGGATGCATCTTGACTCTGTTCCTCGATATCCATCAATCTATTCATCTTTCTATAATATAAAACAAGTATATTATTAATATTATCGTAATTGCATTATTCAATTTTTAAGCTTAGCTAAAATTGGAATATGAAAAATATTTGATAAAAAATATTGCGTTATAATATATTGACATTATTAATTGATATTGATACAATTCATATTAGATTTGAGCCGGAAGATGTAAATTTAAAAAAAATCCTAACAATGAGATAAAAACATCATAACAATGAGATTATATTCTAAGTCACTTATCCGTTAATAGAATGTGAATTATTTATCACGTGTTTAATATATAATTACATAAAACTATTAATTTATAAATTCTTACAAAATTATATCTCTGCAACTATTAATTTCAGGTATTTTTATTACAATTGAGGAATTCAGATTTTTAAGATATAATATTTAACGAACAAATCTAATCTCTCTTATGCGAGAATAAAGTTTTAAAATTCTAAAACATTTCATTTTACAATATTTTATTTTTGTGCGTATGTAATGTATCACACTATCTCGTTTCTTTTGCCAAGATATTACCTTATGACTTTGATCGAACGACGCACACCTCATCGATTCTGTTTATCTACTGAAGTGTCAGCCAAAAATATACTTTCTTGAATGCCAACCGAGTCACAAATGCTAGTTGAAAAACTGTCAATATATTATTTAAAATTATCGGTTAGATGTATGTACCATCTATTACAGTGTATCAAATATAACATTACAAAGTTGCGAAACTAATGAAGTTTATACTCAAGAAAAAATACAAACTTGAGAAATAATCATATATATGTGAAAATTTACAAGCATAACGATATTTGCAATTGTTAAGTTTTGTAAAGGAAAAAATATGAAATAAAGAATAAAATGAAATAAATGGCAGTTTAGTAAAATCTATAGAAAATCAAACTATATAGAACAAATTGTTTTTCTTCTCTCAGCTAATATAAATATAAGACAAGAAATGTGATATGTACATCAATAGATACACATGTAAACGATATGTTACCAGAGAAATAAATGATTTATTAATATCTTTTTTTTATTTATAAATATTTCAATAATGATATACACATGGGGTTGACGTTTTAATAGTCGACATAAAGATCTTTCCATAATCCAAAATCGAAATATTTTTTGATATTTAGCACATCTCGTTTTTTTTCGAATGTTTGCGTATACATTTGATGTCATTTCCTTAGTCGTAGAGCCAAAATTCTCCTACAGCTAATTCCAAGAATTATCTTCCGCGAAAGCCTTTTTGTTTGCTGCACCACCTGCCGCTTGATCTTTACGTTTCTTGCGTCTTTTACCTTTTATACATAAAACGAAAATCGGAATATTAATTAATGCAAAGATAAAAAAAATAAAAAATGTACAACACTTACCAGTAGCAACTTGCCATCCATCTTCAGATGTATTCGCTCCATTAGTGGTCGATTTTCCGTTACCTTTCACGGCCGTATTCCTACAAAACGATAAATTTTTTATGTCACGAGGATGAATTTTATTTTAGTGCGCATACAGTAAATGTATAATAACACATTTCATACACGATGAATCAATTTATAGATGTCAATAATTACATACACGACAAACTTGAGTTTCATTCACTAGAGATTATCTCTAGTTTTTTTATTTCAATTGGTTCTATATTTACATGAATACACACGTGTATAACGCGAACACAGGCGAGATATTGCGTATTCATAAATTGCAACGATAGCTCCGCGAACTCGGACACGTGCGTATCGAGTAAATTTCTCTCGAGAATAATGTATGCGATGTCAATAATGCATGATTGATCGAAACTTCTCTCTCTCTCGATTATGTTCTCGTCAATAAATTAAAGATTTTCGTTTCTCATTAGATTTAATTTTGTTGAGTTGGAATGTATCTTATTCCTCAATAGCGCGGCTAAAAAATAATATATACTTCGACTTTCCTTTTGAAGAGAAAAATAATTTAAAAAGATTTTAATTTAAAAATATTTATTTAAAAAGGTTTTGCATTTTTATTAATACTTTATTAACAAGTTTTTTTTTAATAATTTTATAGTTTATTATAATTTATATTATTTAATAAGATTTGTATGTATAAAAGATAATTTATAAATTAGTATAATTTTTATTCGGATATGATTTTATTGTTTATTGTACTTTTTTATTGAATGTTTATTAAGATTATAAATTTTAGATTTCTGTCAGTGAATTTACGTTAATTTAAATCAGTGTAATATAAATTTCGTATCCTTAAAATAATTATATTTCGCTATACTTAGAAATATAATTTGTCTCCGGTGACATAGCTTCTTCATCATTTGATGTTTGTATCACATGAAAATGCATGTGACATAGCAAAGGGAATTTACGAGCGCAGTAATTACGAGCACACGGGTGATTCATTAATATCGTGTTACCCGGCAAGAGCAATGTTGTAACTACAATGTGATGGAAGACTGTAGTTGGTTACAAAAAATATACACGCCGTGTTCAGTAAACGAAGATCGCAGCTAACGACAGCTGATTGGAACATGTGCTTGGATACATTGATCACGGCACACAATTATAATTACCTATTAAAGATTTTCTCTCATAAACGCTGCTTTAAATGCATGATTAGTTATTTATTGCTATTTGAAGAATAAATTTTTTTCCAAAACATCTTATAAATATAATACGATTTTGATAATTGATAATATCCTTTTAAATTTTTCATTAATTTCTAATTTTATATTAATTAGAAATTTTAGAAGGAATAAAAATAATTGTAATTTATACAACTAAATTTTTTATATTAATAATAATTATATATTTTTATTCCTTAATATATAAAATAAATAACTTTTTAAATAAAATAAAACAAAAAAAAGTACAAATAAAAAAACAATTTTTTAAACAATTCAGACTTTCCACATCGTTTAATACAATTTCCATAAAACATATTAGTTGCTCGCAAGACGGCGGTACTTCGCACAAACCGGACCATGAAGAAAGAAGAGGAAGAGGCAAAGTAGGGTGAAGGGAAGCAGAAGGGGAAAGGGAAAAGGAAAAGAGCAAGAAGATGAGATAGGCCTGTAGCGAGCGTCGCGTGCATTAATTCAGAACAAGGTCTACAGCCCTATGCAAATCTCTCGTGTACAGGAAATCCTAGGAGAGGCCGCCTAAGGTCTTATCCCTTTCTCTCTCTTTTTCGTCTTGAGAAGATCATACCAGAGCTATAACGCGTTATTCATCCGTGCGTTTAATATATCTCACTGAACGTGATAGCTCGCGGCAGAAAATAAATTACGATGGAGACTATTCATTTTTGTTCCAATGTGTGCGATTTTCGAGATTGCACATTTTGCAAACATACACATTTATTTATCATAGAGATTTTATACGACTCTTGCGTACAAATCGGTATTTTTAAATATTAGAAAATGCTAACTGTATCTCCCAACCGAGTTATGGAGAATTTAAAAGCAGAAAAAGTCACATTTAAAAATATCAAATTTTGTTGAATAAAATTGTCTCGATGTATTCAGGAGTACCCGATAATTTAATTTCATCGTGTATCAAATGATTTGCATTAAAATCTGTGATATAATGTATATCCTTATAACTCACTCAGGTGATGACAATTTCCGTTTACGATCCTCGAGAGAAACATCGGTCTGTAAAGAGGCTTGATGGTTTGAATATTTTTGTATTTTGCAGATAGTCTGCTTGGCTAAAGCCTGCATCACAACACTGGCCTGATCGCGACGGTACAAACCTATGTATGCGGACGTGTCTGATAACCATGAAATATAACCACCACCTGTAAACAAAAATTGTCATATAGAAGTTAATTTAAACGTTAATTCCGTTTTATTTGTATCGATACAATACTTACCAAATGGACTAAAAAGTTGACTTATATCTGTGTGTTTCCATTCTTTTGGAAATGTTATGTGAAATACGTGATCTCTGCTAGGATTTGCTAAGAGAAAAAAAGTTATATTACTTATGTCAGTAAGCAATTTCTCTCTGAAATTTACTCTAAATAAAGATAATATCTCCTTCTCTCTCCCTCTCTTTGATTTTATTAATTTAAATAATACTTTTAATTTGAATGAGAGCATATACACTTACATATAATATTCTAATTTTAAATGAGATATGCTTACGATCTTTTCCTACTAAATTCACATATGGGAAGTCTTTCAGTCTTGCAATTGGAAGTCTGTAAAAAGAAGAAAAAAAGAAAATAATTAGATTATAAAAAAAACAATAACAATTATATGAGATTTTTAAGAATAAAAAATGAGATATTATTCAGAGCTTCTGATATATGTAATACTCACTTATTGAGAAAAGGATTAAGCAAAGGAGAATCCACTAGTACTGTGGCATTTTTAGACTTCTGCAGTGTGCCTAAAATAACAATAATTTAATATATATTTATTGGCAAAAGTCAAGAAATTTAAACAAAGCAATTATTCATAACTAATACATTTATCCATTCATATAAGCAAATTGATATAAGAAACATATACTTTTTGTTGTACAAAATATATTTCTTCTACTTGAACAACTGATAATTTTTGCAAATGACCGATAATATTGACAAAGAAAATATTACTCATCGTGATTGTGATATTTGTACCTGATGTAATTACTGACCAAGATAATTAGATAATGCAATAAAGCATAATCCGGTAATGTACGCATCGTATCCTGCTTCATGTGATTTTTCCGTTGATACTGAATAACTATATCCTTCCACAGGCTCCACATCAGGAATAGAGAATGGAGATTTACTCATAATGTCTAATAATACGTTCAAATTCGACGATGTTACGTGTTCTTTAAATTGTTGTGATTGGCAAATAACTTTTGTGTCCAATAAACTTAAAGAAAAAAAGAAAAGATAAGTCCTTTCGAAAAATTTCACACATATACATAAACAGTACTATCTTTAAATAATCTTTTATAATACCTTTAGATATAAAAAAACTAGGAAATAATATTTAGAGGATTAAAATATTCTTTTGATTTAATAACAAGGAATATAAATATGTGCATCTTACCTAGGAAATAAGTTATGAATCAAAATCTTGAATTCTATGTAATCATTTGGCAAAGGTGTAAAAAATTGATGTACAATGTGACATAGATCTAGTAACATGTTATGACCTACTATAATCTTTTCCTAAAATAAGAAATTGAAATAAATTAAACATTACATACAATTACAATAATTAGAAGACATTATATATGATTTGTATTTCTTTTTCGAGTGTCTAGTTTTTTAAGAAATATGGTAAAATGTTGCATATAGTTATAATTTAAAAAAGAAAAGAAACAATAATAATTTTTGTATTGTATTAATGATTAAAGTGGATGATTTATGTGGATATATATAATTATTTCATATGAATTAAAGATATGAACGAATTGTTTGTACTAAACTAACTAGATAACATCACTTTTTGAAACTTTTGAAAAATTTTTTCTTATAATGCTTATAAAATTGCTTGTAAGATAATTTTGCATATCCATATATATAAATAAAACATACTATATATGTATGTGTGTGTGTTGTATACACATATATACACATGTTAAATATATACTTACAGATTCTACAATCTTTTTCAAAAGACTGCTGAATCCTACAGCCTGTTTTATTTCCAATTTCTCTTTTTCACGTTTTTGATTCTCTTTTTCTTCCTCTTCCTCTTTGGTGCCTGCTTTCTGTATAGAAAGACAGTGCCATGTATTTTCAACTTTACTTTCAACTCTCACTTTGTTGGGCCACCTAATTTTGGCTTCCTGATATACCAGTCGTCTCATAAATGCATTACATTTGTCTATCGTTATTTCTTCTGCATCCGAGGCAAGAAAATCTTCTATTCTAGAACTAAAATTTACATGTTACATACTTACTGATGAATAATGTATGTGATTGCAATTTTAATGTAACATCTTTTCTGAATTGAAAAAGATAGTTACCATATTTCCTCTATTTGAGGTTTGTCATTATCCGATATCGGAATCAAAGCTTGATTGTACTCTTCTTTGATTTTTTGTTTTTCTTCCAGGCGTTTAACAAGTTTCTCTTCTTCATTTGCACTAAGATATGGTATGCCATACTTGAAAAGTTTGTTGAAGTCAAAATCTTGATTCGCCAGAAAGGCTATTGAGGATGTCTGACACATAAATCTGCAATCTGGTGCGTGACGATTCAGAGGTTTGGGAAACACATAAAAATTGTAAGAACGTTGAAAATATCTAAAAGAAGAAAGATGTCTCGTTATCGATATATATATATATATATATATATATATATATATATATTCTCTTATATATTCCTTTAATATATATTCCTTTAGATATATATATATATATATTCTCTTATATATTCCTTTAATTAAATTATTAATACAGTTTAATTAAATAAGTAATATTTAAAATATTAAAAAAATAATAAATCCTACTTGTCAGTTTGTGAGTCATATGTGAAGGTGGACAAACCAAACTGTACAAGCAGGAAATCCATTGATCCTGCTCGAAGTTTGGCATAATATTGAGCCGGAGTATCAAAGGGACCAGCATCTGGGCCTGAATTAAGGCCGGTGAATTCACCATCGATACTGAGAAAAGTAGCATTTTGTATGATGCTATCTAATTCAGATAACACATCCTGAAAGTCTAGAAAAGGGAGGTTACATTTGATGAAGTGAAAAAGAGTGAGAAAATAATTCATGAAGAAATAAAGTTTATAAGTATCCTCGCTTACTTACTCAAACAAGTTACTTCCATTGTTCACGTCGTTTATGCGCACATTAATGCATACGCAAAATTTAAACATGAAACTATATATATATATATATCTATATAAATTCTCATACATACATAACCTGTATCTCTATTTATGTAAACATTGCGATAGATACTGACAAATATGCGTAACACAAATACCGTGATACAAATTTATGCGCAGATGTTCTCATCCAATGTCTTATTAAAGTGCCATTACATTTGTCGTACGACGATCTAGTCGAATATTATTGATTGGCTATAGGATAGAGACTATCTAGAGTTCCGAAAGTTTCTTATAATGGTAACCAATGAATACGTTTAACAAAAATTATCGCACGTCAAATGTAATGGCATCTTGAGGCGAGCCATGTTTATCGCGCATGCGCAGTAATAATTGTCAGGAACGTATAATTTGAATAATACTGTAAGCGAAATTTATTCTTGTGTAAATTAACTTTTTTTTTCGAATAATATTTTTAATTTAGTCTTCATATGAAAAAAAAATTATTATACAATTAAATATACAATTAAATATATTATAATACAAATCTTTTTGACAGAATTTCGTACGTAAAAGTGAACTGCGTCGTTGTTATTATTTTTCGTCTTGATTTATGTTATATTAATTATCAAGTATAAATACATATCTGAATTTAATTTAAATAATTTTTAATTTATTGTATATATTTAATATAATATAATATATATTATATGTATTATAGTATATAGTATATAAACATGCATATTAATTTCACATATTAAAATTTCTCATTTTTCAAGAGATCTAATGATTCTTTTTTTGCAATGAAATATGCGACAAAGCGAAAATAACAATATTCAATACTCAACAATAATGTACTCTGAGGTGTATCTACTTTCCTAACGTTTGTATACACTACTACGCGAAATTCCTCCCTTCCCTGTCGCAACATTTGTAACGCCAAGTACGATCAAATGAAATATATCCATTTCCGCTCCTTAAACATGAATAATCGATATTGATTGAATACTTATTCGAGTGAATTTAATTATTACAAGTTACATTTATTAAAATTTATTAAAAGAAACTCGTTCAAAGAAAGTTTCTGTCAATCTTTTCGTCGCCCTACTGTGTAGGTTAAGATTAATGATTTAATATTGAACAAGGAATTTGATGATCTACTGTTGAAGGAATTTTATCGTCGTGAAATTTGAAAATTATAAAACAGTCTCAAGAAAAAATCGATGATGAGATGTGTAAGATTTCAAAATGATAAAAGACATTGGAATGGGAGAGAAGGTAATTTTGTAACTATATTTCTTTGATTATATCAATCTCTTGTTACATAATTAAAATATGTAAAGTATAATATATATATCATTCATTTGCAGAAAATGTGACGACGAATGAGAAAATAGATGAGACTAATAAAAATTCTACTCAAAAATATGATGAATTTCCAATTTCTAATCATAGTACACCAGTTACAAGCAGACAGAATGCAAACAATGCCGAAGAAGCACTAGAGCCTAATCATTACCAAAGTCCACTTTTACTTCCATGTACACAGGAGGGTGGTAATGAGGTTGCATGGGATTGGCATAATTCTCAGAAGAAAACTCCTGAAAGTAAAAATAAAAGACAAAACGTTCATTGTGAGACGCCTAAAGGAACTAAGCTGTTACACAAAAAGAGGAACTCGGATTCACCTTTATTGTATAAGCCACTTAAAAGAAAGACCATTAATATGGAAAACATAGAAAACATTGGACAATTTGCAGCTGAGTTGCAAGCATTAACTAAAAAAATGAGTGTTATAAAACACAATGACCAGGATCATTCAAATAATCAAGTCGAGAAAGAAGAGCTTATCTTAGCAGATACAAGTTATAAAGAAGAAATGTCAATAAATGAAGATAACAAGCAGAATTCCATTGAAGAAATAAATGACTATAGTAATGTTATTAAAGAAATAAATTGTGATGATCTATTTGATGATTGGACAGATGATGCGACTCAAGAATTGGAGGAGAAATTAAATTCCATCATAGACAAAGGAAATTCTACACATTCAGAGTCAAGTGTCAAGAAAGGAGAATTGTCTCAAATACCTTGTGTAAATAGTGTATCCAATAAAAATACCATACAATCTACTTCCAATGAAAATATTAAAGAATCGCCAACTGAAAATATTTTCTATAGAAGTACAAATAATAATAATACATTAAAGACATATTCAAATTTATCGTTAAAAAGGAATTCAGATTCTAGTATACATAACACAGGGCAAATAAACAAAAACTTTTATAAATCGTGTCTAAGTGATGATAACATGATACATTCTAGTATTAGAAATCTGTGCGAAGATAGGAAATTATCAAAAAATAAACCCATAAAATCATTTGACTTTCCTGATGACTCTTTTGATGATTGTTTAGCAGCCTGTATCGAGGAGGAAAAATTACCAACAATGTTTGATTCTTTGGTTCATGAAAACAATAGTACAAAATCTAAAGTTAATTATGAACATTTGACTCATGCACCATTAAAATTGGAAACTAACTCCTCTAAATCTACAGTGAAAGGTGGAACATCTAGTACTAACTTGTCAGCAGATAAGAAGTTTTTTAAGACTAAAAGTTTATCTGATAAATTAATTAATCAGAGCACAGTTACAAACACTAAGGATAAAGCAAATTCAATGAGAGCTATGATGCACTTAAACTCAACCAAAAATTCGACGATAACATGTACAAGTGTCACACGTGCCTCCGTAAGTACAAATCCGATTGTTACAAATTGTAAAGTTGAGAATAGTGCAATTTTGTTAATGCGCGATGCGGCTCGAACGTATGGGTCCGATGTTAACAGGTGCATGGTAAAAGAAGATGGTAATCATTTCGTTAGACACCATTCCACTGGTAATATGAAAACCGATACAAAAGAAATATCAAAGACTGGTTCGCAGCCGGCTCGATGTTCAAAAGAAGAAATTGAAAGAAAGAGATTGCAGGCTGTAATGAAGCTCGAAGCGAAAAAAAAAATGTACGCCGAAATGAAGATTACAAATAATATTAATAGGTGAAGAAATAGTGTCTTATCTTCTACTGTCTACTCGTTGCTCGAAAGTGATATACGACTTTCTTAATTATGTATAATCCTATATATCGTTTCATCGACGAAATTATTCTCATTCTGTGATCGTCATTGTTATATATCATTATCATCATATTAATCATTCATTATTGTTACATTGTACAAAATATTTTAAAAAAGGAGTTGCACAAATATATTTATAATTATAACAGCATAATATTTATAATAATTATATGTAGAAAATATACATTTGAGTTATCTATATATTTGAAAATTTTCAAGGATATAATACATGTTTCTTAAAAATTTTGTTCCTTAATTGCGCGGTGACAATTTTTAGCATTAATTATTAATAGTTATATTTAAAAAATTATATTTTATATTATACTTTTAAATAATTATCTAAATATCATTATAATTTTAAAAATTATATTTTTTTTAGATTATGTGAATACAGATAAAAACGAATTTTATTTCTGAAAATAAAAAAAGAATAAGTTTTTCTTATAAATTTAAATTATTTTCTATCATTTTTTTATGATAGAATGTTGAGTTTTCTATTTTGACTATATGTCTAATTTTATCAAATTATACATATGATCAATAATAGATCATTTTTCAAACATATAATCTGATATATCGAAATTGCGATTTATATAAATTATTTTAGAATTTTACCAAAATTTGTGAGATTTTTTATGACATCATGATATTCAATAAAAACTTATGAAGTAAACAGGTATAAAATATATATACCTAATATAATACAAAAAATAATTTTTTTTTCGAACACAAAGAGTTATTTCCTACAACCTTTTGACACTGAATACGAACAATTTTCAATTGTGTTTATTTAAACTAGAATTAAAACTAGAATTTGTTTATATCGTTAAATATAAACTAATGTTAAGATTAACAAGTTTCAAATGTATATAAAAAATTCAAACATTTTTAATTAGACATTTCTATTATTTTTGTTAATTGTAAAATCAGATTTGTATTTAGTGAATATTCTAAAAAATTCTTAAGTTTGAATAAACATAACTGAAGATTAATAAATCTTTCCGCAATAAATTCTATATATGTTTAAAAATAAATATTTTATTAACTGTAACCGAAATAACACACTTATATTGAAAGTTAAAAATTTTAACAACAATTTATTTTTATATTTAATTTTGATCAAAACTTCGATATATCACATAAATATTGCCAATATAATAAGTTAAAGAAATGTTTGCAATTTTAACTGTAAAATTTAAAATTGTGGTACAATAATTTAAAAGTCGAAATCATGTTCTTTAAAAAGACTATTTTTTATTTTAAAATTATTTTTAAAAAATGTTTATTTTTTTGTGTTTTTTATTGAATTATATAATTATGATTCTGTATACATATACATTCTAACATATATATGTACACTATATATATACATATATTCTATATATGTACTCTGATAGCACAGAAATTGTATGAGTTGGAATGTGCGCCATCTTGTCGGTAATACGTATAGCGTTTAACTTTTTTATGCTCAATCATTCTCTTTTATGTTTGCGAAACACAATTATTAAATTCATTTTATGAGGACACTTATAACGCATTTACATATAAATATATTAAGGTTTATATTTTTTCCCTTATACCATACATATTTATCTCTTCTTTTATATATTGTGAGAGATATATGTTTTGTTTTATATCATTAATTTTAACAGTTGACTTATATTTCGATGTATATGTGACATTATAATCTTTTGTAGCTAATTTGTCGTTTATTAAAATTTTTTCAAGATATTTACTATATAAAACATAGGATATAATATTTATATATATGTGAGAAGAAATATTTATTTAAGAAACTCATGAAAAGAAATAGAAGTTTTTTTAATATAATTTTCTTCAATCTCTAAAATAATTTTATTATATATATATATATATATATATATATATATATATATATATATGCATATCTAAGGAGAAATTAAAATTTTGTATATATAATTTTTTATAAATACATATACATATGTATATTAGAAAATTTTCGCTCTGTAAGCTCTGTAACTCTATAGCTCTTTAGCTCTTTCTTTTTTTCGTTCTTCGCTCTTTCTTTTTTACTCTACAGTGCTACATAGTTTATAGAGATACAGCGTTATAGAGAATTTTTACAGAATAGACCCATATATTTTGTAAAAAACAACATTATGTATTCAGTTTTTTCACCAAGCGCTACTTTTTTAAAATTATAGACAAAAAGATGTATTTTTTAGAAGACCTATAACATTTACGAAAAATCTATAATTGCTATTTATTAGTTTCCAAGTAACATATGTTGCTTTCATAAACGTCTCCTGAAACTTTTATGAACATATACTATGTGAGCTATTAAAACACCGAATTGTCAGGTCGATATACTATACATTTAAGCGATTATTCTTGAGATTTGCGCACGCGCGACTGTCGCAAATTTGTCGCTCGCGACGTCATTTTAATCAATATATTGGATGACGTCACGCAAAGGCTTTTCACCTGCCCGCTTCGTTGTTCTACACGGTTACGCACTTTGAATCTCCTTTCGTACGCTAATTTTTTTCGACAGTTACATTCTTCATTTTCTCTTTATTCGAATAATGTACGCGTGACAAGAATATTCTTATCGTCTTACAAAAAGAATTATAAAAAAAAGCTTTTTCCCCTTCGTGGATTTTTCTTTTTCCATAAAACTTGCGCGCGCGTTTACGTAAGAATTTATCAATTCTTTTTTCCCTTTTTTTTACTCTTGATACTCGCGGTATCTCGACTCTCTGTTCGATGGCGAACGATATGGATTCTGCTCCTGTCATACGTCAGTGGCATCGCGCGTTTTTTCCCCTTGTGTTGGGTTCTGCCGCGTTGTAGCGTCGAGGAACGACATTCTCCATCATCAGCGATCGTCGTCGCGGAAGAAAAAGGAAGAGGATTTATTCTATTCGAGGCCCCTCGTTGATCCGCGCCGTGATTCGTAAGCCAACTGCCATCTCCGCCACCGTCGACGCCGACGCTGACGCTGACGCCGACGCCGACGCCGACGACGCCGACGCCGCTGCCACCGCCACGAAGATCGTAGTACCGTCGCGTACCCTCGAGTAACCGAGTACCTCGAGTGCAGTCCAGTATCCCCGAATCCGCGAATGCGAAGTTCGACCTGGACGTATTTCGCCGGTCACCTCTCGTCACGATGCTACCACTCGCGGTGATCGCGCTCTTCCTCCTCGCTGGCACGATGACCGCCGAGGTCTATACCAACACGTTCCTGGTGAGGATGCGACAACCAACGGAGAAGCACGTAGCCGATCACGTAGCGCTGAGAAATGGCTTCGTCAATCTAGGACCGGTGAGTGACGATGATTATTTATCCGAGTTCGCTCAAAAATCGTCGATTTTCATGCTTGACCGAAGAGGAAACGCGAGTAATTTTATTCGAAATATTATTATTCGATCATAGAATACATTTCGCCAAATGCTTAATTGTGCCTTTTAATTGTACTTCAATTCAATTTTCCATTTTTCTTTCTTTCAATATCTAATTATAGATTGTTATATAATTGTTATATATACGTTTAATTATTATATATATATAATTGTTATTGTATATATAATTTTAATTATATATATTATACATTTGTATGTGTATATATTATTATTTTAATTATATATTTTATTTTTATTTAAAGAAATAGACCTTATATTATCGACAAGTGAGCTCGCGAAGTGCCACGCACGCGAACGAAATAATCGCACATCCGAGGCGCAGAGGTCCAAGAGAATGTAAGAACGCGTAACGATCGAATCGCAATGACCAGCAACATTTTATCAAGTTGCCTTTTCGCGTTCAATGCGTTCACCATACTTTGACACGTGAGCGTTTTCCATTCAGATAATACCGTTTATTCAGAAAGCGTACTGCGATTATATCTCTGAACTTTGCCGTGTGATATAATAGTTCGGTTAATAATAGATATTCATTACATAGACAATTGTGTGAACTAGATTCTTCGATAAATGTCCCTTTTACATGCTCGATTTGTAAGGGTATCTATGTGTGACAGATGTAAATTATAATTATAATATTATAATATTATCGTCGGCTTTGTGGTATCAATCACGAAAGCAATCACGATATCAATCACGATATCAATTATTAATAATTATTCAGATCTGATTGATTCAATGTACGCAAAAAATAGTGTAAAGGATAATATACATATCTTTTTGATTGTATCATATCACGTTTGCAAATTGTATAAGATCATTGACAAATTGTATAAGATCATTGACTTCATTTCGCAGCGCGTTCAATTAACAGATTTGCTCTGTGCCTCCAGTTTTTCAGCATATTATTCAATAAAATGGCATCTCATGCAAATTAATACAATTGTGCTGCTTCACTAACTTTTTTTTACCTTTACATTTTCTAGAAATCTCGAATGAATATTAAAATAAATACATAAATATACAAAATAAATAATTTTTCTGAATTTGAATTTTGTAATTTTTATATTTATTCATAAAAAGAAAAAAAGTAACATATCAGTTATTATTTATACATGTACATACGTGTGTCAAAATAATACGCATATGTTTTTTAAACTTGCAAATTCTTGATTTTTTTAACCTTTAAAGTCGTACATTTACGTCCAACAAAAATTCTAGACATTTTCATAGAAGCTTAACTTTTAAGCATACAAACTATTTTTGTTTCATGATGTTATTTCCCGCTAATAAAATGAATAAATCCAGCTAATATTCAACTAATATTGTACTCATTGCAGCATTAAATACTCGCAACTTTTCTCGTAAAATTGTTTCGCGCATTAAGTAATTAAATGTCTCGAAAATTTATCTCTAGTGATGTGCCACGCGTCAGATTTAACGCTACGTCTGTCTATGTATTGACACACTCCACTGACTGTGAAACCACGATTAAGCCAAGGGGAAAATCGTGAATTTTCTTCTCTGAAATGTTCTGCTCCGCAAAAGATCAATCGAAATCATCCATGGAGATTGTGTTCTTTCCTTCGCTTGTGTCAACATCTTTGTTTACGAACAACAGGAACAAAAGAATTTAAGTAATTACACGGAAAGTTTATCAATCGACAAGAGAAAAGCGTGCGTTAGCTAAAAGACTAACTAGCATTCATAAAAAGTTATCGAGTCACTTCTTTTACGAGTCATCGATTGAAAAAAATTTTTTTAATTGAGTTTATCATATTTTTTTACGCGACTGGAATTTTTTTTAATTTCATACATATATCGCGCAAAAATTGTCAGTTCATAAATAAAAGTCACAAGAAAATTGATTAAAATATTTTAAAATATTAATTATGGATTGAAAAAATTAACAAAGGTAATTTATCAATCATGTTAAAAGTCAACTATAAATCAATAATTAACGCGCGCTATCACACTGGCCAAGTTTGATTAAACTAAAATATCCTAGTCCTCCGCATCGAGACGAAGCGTAAGGCTACTATGAGATCAATACTCGAGAAAATGATGAGATTGGTCTTAAAAATCGCAACACGTAAGAAACTCGGAAAATAGACGGAGTAGGACGTTATTGATGGTATAATAAAAAAATGATAAATTTACACGAAGATGTATCGCAAAAATAGGATAAAAGTTTTTAAGAATTTTTTTTACTTTTTTTAAAATTAATTTTAAAAATTGGGATCGTATGTTATTTTTAAGAACCTGAATAATTTTTTATCATCTTCTAAATTCAATGTATTTCAATAGCATTATTAAAGTGTAATTAAAACATTTAAAAATAGCTAAACATTTAATTAAAACATTAAAACATTTAATGTTTCAATTATAAAAAAATAACAAAAGGTAATTAAAGATATCGAAAATGAGTTTATTTGTATAATATTACAAAATCGTCTTTTTATTTATTCAAATAATTATAAATATTGTTATTCAGCTTCTTTGATAGAGAGTTACTGTTGAGACAAATTTATCGATTTTTGGCATAGTGTCATTAAAAGTTATGCAAGTTTAGAACATTATTATTAGATAGTTACTAATATTTTATTTTACAATTTCGATTTTCTCTAAAGTGTAATTTCATGTAGACAGGTTTTATCTTTTGATTTTATTTTTTTACATGTAAAGTAACCAGTTTTATGTAGTTTAATCGCAATAAATTGGATAAGCAAGTTGCAATTTTGCCAATGTAGAGGAAATTGATATCCTGTAAGCGCTATTTATCGGCGTAGTGACGTAGTTTCTTTCGATTAAAACTGTTTCCTGCCCGTCTCGTACGATTAACCGCTATGGTACATGAGGCTAAATTATCAACGATCGATCGCCTCCACTACGACACGATTAATTTTGCCATGCATTGGCAGTGACTGATTTTATCTTGGATAACAAGATAACAGCTGATGCGATAGATTAAGAGATCTTCCTGTCATTTAACAGGAATTATCGAATCAGTCGTTTTCTTTTGCAAATTATATCGCGAATATTACAATTAATTTCGAACATAAAAAAATATAACAAGGATTGTATGTATATTATGTTTTTTTTCAATTATTTGTGAAAAACTGAGAAAAGCTTGCGAGATGAAAAAGGCATAAGTTTGATCTTTTTTCTTTTTCGGTTTTTTTTTCATCACAATCATAATTATAAGGGACGGTAAACCGCAATGAGGGTTTATATAATAAATAATTTATGCCGAGACAATTTCTCATTATTCGCAACGCCCAGAAAATTAATTATTTTATCTCAATAACATTCTCTGTTTACCAATGTGGACGTCGGGAAAATTGGAATTTTTGAGCGGCTCAGTAACCGTGTGCACATGTCTGGGTAAATTTTGACCAACATAACGTAATATCTTTTTATCCAATAAAGTTTTTTATATATCGGATTTTATTTTTATTACATATATAAAATATTTTTTTCCGTTTCGAAAAATGCTGTTCGTACACGATGATGGTAAAAGAAATATTTTTAGATGAATCTATGTTTAAAATAAAAAAATAAATAACGTTTATCATAATTTTGTAGAAATGCACATAAAATATCCGTCTCGATTGTATCGTAGGCTTTATAAAATAGTTTTGAGATATGGGTCATATAGTGACCTGACGTAGAGGATTAAAGATATATCGTTCATCGGATTTTTAGTCTATACATATTGAAATTCCGCTTTCAGAGATTGCTTTTCTCTCTCACTTGTTTCGCTTTTCTACCTTTACAGAGAAATATTATATATAAATAAGTTTACTTTATTCTTTTATTTCGCATATGCTGTTTTCATTATTCTTGAGAATTAATACTAGTTATTATATTTACATCGAGAGAAAGAAAGAAAAGCTCGAGAAATAAAATATTTTTATTTTCTCTCGAATTGAGATAAAATTTTAACATCGTGGAAACAAGACGTAGAAAAAAAAGAAAAAGAAGATTTCTCCTCCGTTTCAAACACACATCTTTCTGTTAAAGGTTTTGGGCAGTCAGACGGAGTATCATTTCGTACATACAGCTTTACCTCATGTACGAAGCAAACGATCCGTGCCACACACGCGAAGATTAAAGGTCGATCCTTTGGTAAGTTGATATCTCGAAAGATTTACTCGATGTTTGCCATTACGGATTGTAAAAAGAAGTTATTAAAATGTTAATTTCGAAAAGTAAAATTATTCCAGTTCTAGATCTTTTTCATTTTAGAACAAGTGAAACTTGCAAATTTTAATTGGGCAAAAAGTACATTTAAAATTTATTTTTTTATTTTAATCGTAATATTAAAAACGCGTTTTATAAAAATTTGTGACAAAATCCAAAATAAAATTGTAATTATAATTTTATGCATAATATAAAATACAAAAAATATTTGAAAAATACAAAATATGTGTTAAAATACGTACAGGATGCGCGATCTTTAAAGTTATAAATAAAATTCTGTTTTGAAGTTTTTCGAATTATATATTTTCACCTAAAAAGCGGACTTTTAAAAGAGAAAAATGCGGAGAGAGATACGAAAGTCAGTGAAAATATAATAATAATTCAGGTAGCGACGGCGACACAACTGGCTGGGTTCAAGAGAGTGAAAAGGGGTTACAAACCCTTGAGCGTGGACAATCTTGTACCGTTGTACGAAATTAAGAATCCGACAAATCCTGGAAGCAAGGATCCGACGGATCCTTTCTTTAAACACCAATGGTACTTGAAGAATGTCGGACAGAATGGCGGTAAACCGAAGCTGGACTTAAACGTCGAGGCTGCGTGGGCTCAGGGTGTTACGGGGAAAAATGTGACGACAGCTATCATGGACGACGGTACGTAGAAGAGATATTTTTTTTCTTCCGGATAAATGAGACCTCGCGACCGAGTTATTTCGAAGTCAAAACAGCGTTAAATTACACACGCTTGAATGCAAGTTTGCGAACCAACGGCGGTTTGAATCGATATCGCTGAGAGACGAGTTACGCAACGCTCTCTCATTTCACCGAGAAACGAGATGTATTTTCATTTGACTCTGCGTGTAATTGCAGTCGACAAGAAGTACAATGAGATTGTCGTAACCGAGTTCTTTTAATGATTCGATTTTTCCTTAACGAAAGAACGAAATTGCCAATTTTTTTTTTTTTTCGAGTTTTATGTTTTGCATTACACACGACGCATGTGACAGCGCATCGATATAACGCCTCTTGTCATCCCTAATGTAAATCCATCCGCAACATATGTACGCACTTACTACAACGTTTTATTGCAGGTGTCGATTACATGCATCCGGATCTCAAATATAATTATGTAAGTGTTCCTATTCGTTTTTTAGTATTGCACTCTGGTATAAAAAAATTGTTATTTTTATATTTTATATAAGTCAAGAGATGAGGGTGTAAAAAAATTATGTTTAAATCAACAATGATCATTTAGATCGATAAAGAATTTGATTTTGATTTTCTTGAATTTGATTTGATTTGAAAATCTGATATTGTAATTTTGCTTTCAATTTTATAAAAAGACGACATATCTTTTGCACCAACGTAATTAATTGCATACGCATTAATTTAATATTTATTATAATAATGACGGAAAAAATACATGATAGAAAAATACATGAATAGAATTAAAATGTAAAATTAATACATGTCAATACTCTGTAAGTGTAATTCGATATTAATAGCATTTACGTCATAATTATAGAGAGAGAATTTCAAATATTCCTTTTATAGTCTCGCACAGATGCCATTCTCGGCGTGGTTTACATGCAAATATGTCGAGAATTCCAAAATCAGAGAACGATAGGTAAACTTGATTCGAACGGATAAAAATTAGTTATTGCTTATGGTATATATTTTGGAGAGAAAAAAATCTTTAGTTATTCCGTCTCTTCTATAGTAGTTAGCGTTTAAATTTATGCAATACAAAACTAACTACTGCAAAATAGGTTTTTACAATTTTCATAATTCAAAATTAATAGAATGACTTTTATAATTAAGTTGATACCTAATTAAAACGGCGAGACCGCATAATTGCGCAAACTTTAATTGTAAATAAGCAATTATGAATTAACGTTCATGGATCATAATTAATGACGATGCCTCCGTTCTATTTCAGAATGCTAAAGCTTCTTACGACTTCAGTAGTAACGATCCTTTTCCGTATCCGAGATACACTGACGATTGGTTTAACAGGTAAGAGTTTGATAAAAAAAATTGAATCAGAAAAATTAATCAAATACATAATATAAATATGATGGATAATCGGACGTGAAAGTTAGATGAATGCAAAGTAGAAAAAAACGTTTTTTTTTAAATTTCTTTAAAAGAAATTAAAAAAATTAAATAGAGAAAATTAATTAAAGAGTAAAATTATTTATTAATTATTATATAATAAGAAAAATCAACCGAGAAAGTTGAAATTAAATAAAGATTATATTTAAAAGTGCGCGAGATAAAAATATTAAATATGGAAAGTTAATTAAATTAAAATGTGAGATAGAAAAACGATGACTTTTATGAGTAAAAGTGAAACAATCGCTCTTAACGTAAAATAGAAACAAAAGCGTTTGTTGAAAAGTAAGACAAAAGCACGTCCTACATTTCGTGCGAATCGCTCGTGAAATCGTATTATCATTCGTGTAATGATCAGAATGTGAAACTAAATATAATTTTTTTCGCGATGTATTTTTTTTATCAAAGCCACGGTACAAGATGCGCCGGGGAAGTCGCGGCTGCACGTGATAATGGAGTTTGCGGCGTCGGGGTGGCGTACGATTCCATGATCGCCGGGATCCGGATGTTGGATCAACCCTACATGACCGATCTGATCGAGGCGAACAGTATGGGCCATGAGCCCGATCTCATAGATATCTACAGCGCCTCCTGGGGACCTACGGACGACGGAAAGACGGTGGATGGACCGCGAAACGCGACCATGAGGGCCATTGTACGCGGCGTTAATGAGGTACACATTGTTTAATTATTCGTGCATGAAAAGTACATTCGCGCAAATTTGATGAAATTATTAATATAATACTAACATAACTATTATAATTATTAATATAACATTAATAAAACTGGAAACCCTTTAGCAATGAAATTATTATTGGTGTAGTCAGCGAGAAAAGCTTCCTTGTTGTTTTAAGAAACGAAAAGAAAAATAAATAGAGAAAAATTATTAAAACAAATGCGAGAAATAAAAAATATTTTTAATTTTATTTACTAGTCCATTATTTGCAGAAAAAAAAACACAAACTCTCTGAAAACATTGTGAGATATCAAAAAACATTCAAGCAACTGTTTTATTGTTAGATGTACTGAAAAAGATTTTGTCGCTGAGGTAATTGTTTCATATTGGGTTTGCGTATATTTATCAGGGCAGAAACGGTCTGGGTAACATTTATGTCTGGGCTTCCGGGGACGGCGGAGAAGAGGATGATTGTAACTGTGATGGATACGCCGCCAGTATGTGGACCATCAGTATCAACAGTGCCATAAATGACGGTCAGAATGCCCACTACGACGAGAGTTGCTCTAGTACTTTAGCTTCTACCTTTAGCAATGGTGCCAAGGATCCTAACACAGGGGTGGTGAGCAGCCATTTTAGATTAAGGACAGAATTAGCTATATCTTTCTTAGAGTGATTTTATTCGAGAAGAAACACACTGCATTTAATATATTTAAAAATAAATTTAAAAATAAATTTAAAAAGAAATTATTCCCGGATAGAAAGATGTTTCATTTAGCGATGTTTCTTCGTAGAATTATTTTAACAAAAAGATACGTTTTTTAATTTATTATATGTTCTTCTCGTAGGCTACTACAGATTTATATGGAAAATGCACGACGACTCATAGTGGGACATCCGCCGCGGCACCGGAAGCCGCAGGGGTGTTCGCGCTTGCTCTCGAAGCAAAGTAAGTGTTTTAATTTCATTTTAATGTCAGATATATGCGTAAATTTTAAAATGAAAATTTTTAAACATCACTTTGCTTATAGAAAATCAACAAAAAAATTTTTCCATTATCATTCCACGTGTTTGCTATAAGAGCTTTCATTTCTAGCTCGCAATTGACTTGGAGAGATATTCAACATCTGACCGTCTTAACTTCGAAAAGGAATTCTCTGTTTGACGCGAAGGACAGATTTCATTGGACAATGAATGGCGTTGGACTCGAGTTCAATCATCTTTTCGGATATGGCGTCTTGGATGCAGGCGCTATGGTGGCTCTGGCTAAAAAGTGGAAGACGGTACCGCCGAGATATCACTGCGAAGCTGGCTCTATGTCGGAAACGCAGTAAGTTGTCGTTTCACATTAGCCATTAATGAGGTTGAAAATCTATTACAATCTGCGATATTAATTTTAATAATTTTTTCATTACAACTTCACACTGCAAGAGTTTTCATTTCTAAACTTTATCTCTGTATACAAAGTCTGCACATAAAGTCTTTTGACAATTCAGAGAATCGATCCTTTCCCTTAAAATCTGAATCTTAATCATCGTTCCATTTTCTTTGATTTTCTAGGCAAGTCACGAGCGATCGATCCATTCTAGTGAAGATTAAGACCGATGCGTGTGCCGGCACGGAGTACGCTGTAAATTATTTGGAACACGTACAAGCCGTCATTACTGTAAATGCAACTCGGCGTGGTGATCTCGAATTGTTTCTTACGTCTCCGATGGGTACCAGGTACGCGATAAACTTTTAATCTTTTTCTTCCTTCTTTTTCCTAATAAATTTCTCCTTTCTTTTTAATTCGATTAGACCGATCGATTAGAAATAAATAAAGAAATTCGTAAATTTTTTTCAGATCTATGATCTTGAGTCGCAGAGTGAACGATGACGATCATAGGGATGGATTTACAAAGTGGCCATTCATGACAACGCACACGTGGGGCGAGTATCCGCAGGGAACTTGGCTGCTGGAGGTAAATTTTACAGATTTGTAATTTTACAGATTTTTACAGATATACAGTTTGCGTAAAAAAAGAATATTGGAATCTTTCAGGTGAGCTTCAACACGCAAAAGCCCCAACACGGATGGCTGAAGGAATGGACGTTGATGCTTCACGGTACCAGAGAACCACCATATACGGGATTATCCGTGGCGGATCCTCATTCGAAATTAGCGATTGTCAAAAAGGCCCACGAGGAGCGATTGAGCGCGATCTAACGACACTTATGACGGTCCAACGCGATTATCGTCGATTCAGGCGACGAAACTGGGAATATTCTGATCGAAAGATGTTTACGCGACCGCTCCCCTTTCCGCTTTCCTGATTTCGCGTCGCGCGGCTGATAAAACAAATATATTCCGACCCAGTTGCGCGACGATCGCATCACCCGTGCCAATCTTCATCATCGTTCGTTATTTTAAACATACTAATCATCTATTCGCATTGGGATCACTTGAAGCGAAGTAGATTCACTCTTTACTGGAATCGCGTTTGTCTAATTACGGTGTCAACTATAATTACATATCAAGTTATTTATAGCAAAATTTACATCATTAAGAATGTAGACTTCTATATATAATCTTTTTTTTAATATTCCGCTACCGAGAAGAAAATTAACTCTCATAAGCATTCGACGATCCAATTAAAAGATAGTTTTTTTATTTACATCTTTTTGAAAAATTCTGGGAGAATGCGAGATGTAAAATTCCCCCTAAAATTAGATAAAGTTACGCATTATTTTAATAAAAATATGTATCTTTTATGATTTTTCAAACTCTTATTGTTGTATCTAATCAAATATTAAGCAAAAAATATTAGGAAGAAATTAATTTGCATAAGTATGATTTAAAATCTTTGTTGAGATGCTTTAACTTCACTATTATTTATATTTATTTTATTTGTTATTCATTAATTTTTATTTATTATTTATTATCATTATAATAATAATTATTATTACTATTATTACGAAACTCAGGCAAGGGAAATATGTGAGAACATCATTTTGTTCGCGTTGACAGCTTTCCGAAGAATTCTCAAGTCGATGATCGAAACTAGATGATTTGGGGGAACAACAAGAAGAAGGAAGTTTACTATATATTACTCAATAGCGGAATAAATTACTCTTCTGATGGGACGGTAAAATTCGAGGCATTAACTTTAACAAGACGTTATCGAATCGACAATGTCTGCGAATGAGTATCCTGGGAACAAGAATTTCGTGTCGATCATTGTCGTCCTCGCGAATCCAAAGAAGTGATGTCGAAGGAGCGATTATTCTCAAGATATTTTTTATCAGTACATTTTTAATAACGATAATAATATTATAAGTTTATGAATATTCTTCATTTTCTCTTTTATTTTTATCGCGCATTCGAAAGTCGAATGAATGTTTAGAAAAGGGAAATGTCATCTTGCGGATTTTTCTCCCTAAATATCACCTAAATAACGAAAATTGCTCCGATGCTTAAGGCTTACAATTAAATATCGATATACGATTTCTCCAAGAAATTTTTTTTGTTTGATTTTTGGCTTTCGATGTTTGGTAATTTAATATCTTAATTTGTTCGCACAATTTAATTTAAAGCGAGCAACGAAAAGAGACGCACGAGGACGTTTGTGACAAACACGAAAACACGAAATACGGATGCTACAGAATCCGCATGTGTAGATGATGTATCTTACAATTAGAAGTCGTAGCGGACAGAGAGTTTGTGAACATTACATTAAATTATATAAATATAAATAATTTATTATATATAAATGCATATATATATATATATATATATATAATATACGTATATGTATATGTATATGTGTGTATATAGAAAAGTCTCTCTGCTGATCGCATTTTTAAATGACAGATTTCTTAAATAATTGTTTCAAACGAAGATTCCAATGCGAGAACGAAATGTCGAGAGACTTCCTGAAATATTTAAGATGATAAACGATTATAAAATTAAGCAATTACAATGGCTAAAATTCGAATCAACTTTGATCGTTTCTAATTCGAGAAAGTATTGTAACTCTGAGCTTTCTTTTCATACTTCGTTTCTTCGAATTATCTAAGGATTCTGCTATCAAGAATTAATGCGAGGGAATGATCTATAAGTATATATGCATACATCTTATACGTATGTTATATACAAAGCGAGAGACTTAATCTTTATAACGTAGATTATTTCTCTTGTTCACACACAAGACATTTTTCGATAATTGCGCGCGCAGTAGAAATAATCCAAGTCCTAAAGTCAAACGCCCTACGCTTTGTATATTATATATATATATATATATATATATATATATATATATATGTGTATATGTATATGTATATATATACGTATATGTATATGTATTTCATTACATATATATCTTACAGTTGAAAGATGGATTTAATCGACTTTATTGTGTATGCGTTATAGATGGATGAATAAAATCTGTATTTTTTGGCTGGCATCGTTTTTATCTAGTGTACCTTCGATACATCATTTACTACCACATCCCTTTCCTCTCTAGTTTCATCGACAGGTTATATAATACTACTATCAGAATCATCGTAGAATCTGTTACACACACAAGCGCAAGTACATTTATTTAAAAAAAATTCCACCAATTTATATGCAATAAAAATATATTAAATCTCTACGCGCATGATAAAAAGCTAAAACATTTTATAAATTTTGTTTGAGTATCTGAAAGAAGCCTGCTCTCTCTCTTGTCGTGCATGTGTATCAAACAACGCGCGAAATTAAACGTCAAATGCGCGAAAGAGGATGCACGCGGAAGAAAAAAACGTGGAGGGAATCGCGAGACGGCGACGGGGAGGAAGGGGTAGAGAAATGGGGTAGCTTTAGAACGAGAGTGGCCGTCCAAGTTCAGTCTGACAGGCCGCGTGTTACTGTCAGCTCTCGGAGAACGAAGGGCCGTCGTTCATTAATTGGTCAGAGAGAGCCGTATATTTCGCGAGAATTTATATTCATCGATTATTATTTTTTAAAACGACGCATCGAATATAGTTTGTCATGTGCATGTCCCGTTTTTACGAATCCTCGCGCTCGATCCAAAGTGAAGTGCAAAGAAACGAGACGAGCGAAGTTGCGAATTTCGCTTCTCGGAATGTCCGATCCTCGTTAAAAATTCACGTGAGTAACATTCATTTAAAAATTATATTTACTGCAGAGAACCTATATACAGCGATTAAGTTGATGCAGAATATTTGTACTTATAAGATATTAAGAATAAAACTGAAAGAGAGTTAGTATTTTTCAGTTCTTGGACAAAAATCTCGAATAATTTTATTTGAAATTGAATCGCGAAAAAATAAGATTCCTTGGAATAATTTAATAAAAACTAATTTTTTTGGTCTTAAACTTCTTGTCTACTCGATTCTGTCAATAGACGCAGTTGCATGCGATCCATGCATTATTTGCGTTTTAACTTTTTCGTATAAACTTTCTTTTCAAATCTCACGTGAAATAAACTCCTTTCTACTAATTAATGTTCAAACCAATTTGTCTATTTTGTCTACAAGTTTGTAACTCTATTATATGAATTCTGATGTAATCATAATGAAGAATTTCTAGGATTGAGAAGTGTTTTTTTCACTAAGCCAAAACAGAAGTGCTTCTTTTTAAACATTTTCGTAGAAGTTTTTTATGTAAAATATATAATACACATACAATATGCAAGTATAAAAAAATTTACTAGAATAAAGATTATTTCTCTAAATGTTTTTTTAAATAGATAACTTCTTTGATCAACTAAAAACAATATCTTTTCAATAAAAATGTTGATGAATTTATCATACGATTTTCAATCTTTAATATAGCTTTATGATTCGAATTAAATTTCTTTTATCGAGACTTATTACTTGACGTCCATTATTCTCAATCATTAATCAAAATTCGAAAAAATCTATTCTAAATAAATAAAAAAATAATCTGCATCGAAATTCGATATAATCGTAATGTCCCTCGAGCAAAATACGAAGTTTGCTAAGAAAAAACATCCCCACAAACTTGAGAACAACTTTCGCGATTTTTCGCGCGGCATCGCAACTTGGCGTCCGATATTTCAGTCCAAACTGCTCACTCGGTGAGAACTGGTGCCGTGTATTCTCGTCGCATTCCCGTGCCGTCGAGGGTTGACGGGACGAAGAGGCGCGAGGGAACGACGACCGGACGTCGACGACGACGACGACGACGACATCGAGGACGAGTCGACGTTCGGGGTTTAGGGACAGGACGTACAACGAACCCCGGCAAATGTGGCTCTGTGCACGGTGAGCCGGGGTTACGGGGCCCGCGGGGCCCGTGTCGGTGGTGCTGGTGTTGGTGGCGGTGGCGGTGGAGTCACGACGGCAAGGTTGGCGCGGGGGGAGGCGAACGCGCGACTGCCCTTGAGCCCTCGCAATTTGTGCGCTTCCGGGGCCGCTGGTTCCCGCGGCCCCGGGGTGCACGGCGCGACCCTGGCTGCCACCGGCGGCGGTGTCACGGTCACGGAGGACACCGGAGGCCTGCCGGACGAGCCGATGGTCCACGTGGAGAGATCGGCGCACCACCAGGGCACATGGATATGCTGCGCGCCCTGTTACTGGCTGAGGAGGAGCAAGGCCGTGCACAAGGCGCTCCTCACCTTCGCCATGCTGCTGGTCACCAGTCTCCTGGTCACCAGTCCGGTGCTCTTCCTCATCACGACCTTGCCGGAGGGAGAGCAGCCGCGTAATTGTGCACCGTTGGTGGGTATTTTATTTTTTTCTTTTATTTTTCTTATCGTTACATCGATTGTCTTCAAGATGGGAGACAATTTTTGTCCGATTCGAAAATTAAACATTTTTATGGTAAATTCCATTAGATATGGAGCATTGGATATCGCTTTCTAATATAATCTTTGACATTGAATACGGTACACGGGGTAGCTTGCAAATGTGCAGAGTGTATGACGTGACGTGAATAAGTAATCGTCTTACTTATACGACATGAAACATTAAGTAGCTTGGAAACATTAAAGTTGCTCGAAGTTATTTATATCGATCGTAGGCTTAGTTACAGGTGAAAAAGATAGAAAGTCAGTGTTTAAAGACAAACGAGTTGATTTCTTGCGATTGACGTTTTATTTAGCGCGAATTTAATCAAATTTTATAAATAAAGAGAAATAATTTCGAATTAAAAAAAAAGGGGAAAAATTTTGAAAATTTAAGATGGAAAATTTAACAAATTTGTGAATCATTTTATTTGCACGCAGAAATTTGCAAAATCATTGCCCAAAACAACACAAGCCGCGCTTACGATTATGTCGTACATATATACGGCAACGCACAGCGAAGCCGTATTAGCAGATAAGGTTTCGAAACGAATATTCAAAGCTCATCCTCGGTTGAGGTCAGGGCCTTATACATTATACCGACCTTTAAATTTATATTCTTCTATTTCATATTCGAACACTCAAAAATCAATTTTCTTTTAAATATGTATTATATAAGGGTATTATATTAATAAATTAAGAATATGTTAATTTTGCATCTGAACAAGAAACAATAATATATCATAGAAGTTTAAAAAAAATTATATAATTTTTTAAAAATTTAAATGTAATTTAAATTAAATATAATTTAATTTTTAATAATTTTTAAAAAATTATATAATTTTATAAAATCGAATCTACTATTATTAATCGATGAATGAGATATATTTTTATCATATCCAATATTACTATTCTAAATTTAATTATATATATAAAATTATATAATGTGTTGTTATTAAAATTAATTCTTTGATATCGGTATCAGCATTTAAGAAATAAATTTAAACTATAAGACATAGAATAAAAAAGATTTTCGTGCAAATTGCATCTTGTATTCTTTTCACGTAATCGTACAATAAATTGAGACTCGAATATTTCACGATTCAAATCAGTGAGTTTATAAGAAAAGTCCATCTATTGAAACAAGATTAATTTCAGGATGAAGCTTGCATCAGAGAACGAGATGGGCCTGATGGCGTTTGCAGTACCGATGCTTGTGTGGAAGCTTCAAAGAGAATCTTAGCATCCATGAAACGAGGCGTGGATCCTTGCAAGGATTTTTATAAATTTGCTTGCGGCAGCTTTCGCGATCGACGACCCTATCAACCGAGCGCAAGTTTCAATATGCTTCAAGCGCAGACTGACGAACATATACACAGTGAGTGTATTATGTTTACAACTTCTTACGGAAATTTTCATAATTTCATTGAAACGAATAAAATATAATATATTCCGCAAAGAAACGAGATCGCTCCATTTCCATCGCATTATATTTCAATCTTTTCCAGTCCAGTACATTTATATCTCATTAGATCTCATTAGAACGCGAAATGCTATATAACCACTTCCAGATCTGCAATGGTAAATGGTGGTGTCTATAAATAATTATAAAGTGTAGCATTTTTCACGACAATAATGTATTATTATATAAAATCAAGTAAATAAGTATCTCTTTTATATGTAATTTATAATTAATAATATAAATTGAAAGACTTTAATTTTACGTTTGGAAAAAAATCGATTTTAAATAGAGGATCGAAGGATCATGCAATATGACTCCAAGAAGTTTGTACATAAGTTAATGCAAATTCTATTTTTACGTATTCTTAGAAAATTTATTATTCAAAACGAGACAAAATAGTCAAAAATCGTATATAAAAAATCGAATATTCAATGATACTTCGCGACTTCGTCGGTTCTTTACATTCTCTTTTGTCACGAAGAGAAAAACGAGAATCTAATTTACGCATGAAGTATGAACGTCGATACATTATTAACGATAGACATATAAAGGACAAAGAACACGACCTCAATTTGGCCAAAGAATCTATCGTGGACACGGTGGGGGTGGTGTCGCCAGCGTGGCTGGCGCCGAGCGACTGGCACCAACTATACTCGCGTATAGATCGCCGCCGGAAATAATATAATTCAGTTTGGGGGATCGAAACTCTTAAAGGGGACCTGGATAAACATCGAACCTATAGGAACATATCCCGATCGCTCTCGCTCCCGATGATCAAATCGATGAAATAAAGCGCACGCTTTTCATTCAAACGTCATCCTGATTTTAATGTCTCGGATGTGTCGGATAGAACGGAAGTGAAGAGAGGTTTTTGATGAAAAGTTATCGCACTCTGATACGAAGGAGAAATCGAACGGCCGACTTGCCGTTACTATAAATAATGCAACGTTAATCGATATACCACATGTACGTGTGTGTGTGTTACGCGGATTGCCTATTACTCGCTAGAACGCCTCCTCCTAACTCTTTAGCGTTTTACGCAACCTTCGAAATACTATTCGCGTGATTCAAGGTCGGCAATTACCTTGCTTACTAATCAGATTAGATTTAGGAGTGCGATCTTTACTGCCACTTTGTCGTGCACTTTAGCGTAGTTTTCTTCGTGAAAAAATGGCAATGTTTCCTCCTATGAAGTAAAATTAACGATGTATATGTTACTGTATTTTAGAAACGTTGACAAACGAGACAGGACAAATGGTCGCCGCCTTCGAAAAGCTTGGACAATTTTATAACGTTTGTCGAAAATTCAGGGAGAAACCTGTAAATTTTACACTCGGTAAGTTATTATTTACTCGGTAAGTTATTATTGATATCTTGATAGATATGCATAATTTATCTGTTTATATTAAACAAAATTAATTGAATAAGGACTTGAAAAATTTCCCGATAATCATCTCTTTATTTCGATTCTGCTAATGATACAAATTCGAAATTTTTAACTAAATTAATATTATTGTATCTTGGAAAATGTCTTTTAAATTTATACAGCAATAAGAAAACAAATCTTAACGCTCTGTTTCAGTTTATAAGCTTATAGACGAACTAGGTGGTTATTTATCGCCAAAAAGCGCGATACCAAACGATATCACTTCGCTGATCTCCGCGTTGCTAAAAGTAAACGGCGCGCCTCTTTTAGACTTACACGTCGACGTAGATCTTTACGATCGCACAAAGTCATCCGTATATCTTGATCTCCCTACCAAGCATCAAAGTCACGAGTTTCTTACAGAAGATCAGGTGAACGTTATTCGATGATAGTTTGATCTGAATTTATAAAATTTATTATTAAAACAATTAATAAAATATTACATCTTTAATTTTTGCTTCTTATTTTTAAATCGTTTATTCTCAAAAAACGTATATATATAAATAATATTTCTTTTTAGAAAATCGAAGATGTACAAAGGTCAGGTAAAATTCAAGAGATTGTTCGGGGATTCTTGCCAAAAAATATGAGTCTTAAAGAACAATCGTCGGAGACAAATCTGCTGTTGCAATTTTGTTTATCACTAAAAAAAGTGAGGGATAAAATAAAACAAAGCTTTAAACTTTTAATGTGTACAAATGAATTAAATAGCAAGAAAATTCGTCGTTTCAGATTTATCCAAAGCACAAAGACTTGTACAACTGGGTGGATGTTGATCAAAGAGTGTACGTTGCCTATAACGTGTCTTATCTTCAAGAAAACTTTAGTTACGTATGTATATATCGACTTAATAAATATTTTATTTCCTTATCTGTGTTAGTAATGAATTAATCGTATATAATATTGAGAGAAAATAAAAGTAAAGAGAGGGAAGGAATGTAAATTTAATCTCTAGAGTTGCTATAAATATCTTGTTGAAAACCATAAGACCCTTGTTGAGGTAGATCTACATTTACGATAATCTTTTCTCGAAATAAAACAATCATTTGATTTATTCTATTCTACTTATTCTATTCTGAAATATAGATAAGATGGAAATCGTTGCTGAATACAACGTTACGCCAGCGTATTACTTCGCACGATGATAATAACGACACGAATTACATATATGTACCGCCAGCATCTCAGGATCAGCAGATCTATGTCTATGTTACGGCGCCACATTACTTGCATAATCTCGGCAAATTATTCAATCGTTCTTCTAAACGGTAAAGATCTTTATCGTATCAGTATTTTCTCACGAAAACACAATTTATCAAATTAATTTGTACAAAAATGAATCTTGAATAATTATTAATTTAATATAATTAATCTCAATTAAATATATTTTAATATTAAATTAAACTTAAATTATTTATAAATATAATATTAAAGAAATCATAGAAAAAAGTTGAATTATAAATTCAATTAAATTTATTTTAAAATTATAAATAATGAATTAGATTAATATAAACTTTCTCATATAGTGGAGTTGATTATCAATCAGTAATGGGGAAAATTGATAACAATACTATCGATCAAGTTGAGACACTTTCTCTCTCTATCTATCTCTTCTTTCTTTACTATTCTATATATATGTAATTATATTTCGCAAAAAATATATAATACTTTCATGTGTTGATTATTTAATATAATTGTGCTAAATAATTTTGATAAATTACAAAGGATTATTCATAACGGATTGCTGTTACTCTACATCGTGGATACGTTGCACGATATCGTAAATGTTAACGCTATTAAAGATTGGGAGGCTTCCTGCTACCGATTAACCAAAAGCGTCTTTAGCGAAGCGATCAGTGTACTTTACGTGCGACAATACGCGCCAAAATATTTGAAGACTTTAGTTAACAGGGTAATATCATTAACATCGATTTAATCTTTTAATTGCTACCTGTCAATTAATTTAAAACGATAAATAAACGTTCTATTTTTCAAAGTATTATATTTAATAATTAAAGGGTTGATTTCTTTAATTAATAAATAATTAATTTTCTTCTCTCTTTTTTTATCATGAATTGTTTTCATGAAATCATCTGTAGGTGACTGTATTATTCGAACGCGTGAAAGAAACGATAGCCGAACGTATATTAGTGAAATCGTGGCTTAACGATGAGACTAGGGCACAGGCGTTGTTAAAACTGAATTCTTTACAAGGTCGATTTCAAGTATCGCCTGTTTTCTACAATGATACCTTGCTGAATCGTGAGATGGCCGAGGTAAGATGATTTTTTTGGAGATAGTGGTTCAGCTAAAAAATAGTCTGCATGTGATAGATATCTTATGATACAATCTTTTTCTATTGTTTTGCAATGATATTTTTAAGCAGGATTGTTTTCTTATAGGTCATGATTGATTCGGATGATTTTATTGCTACCGTCCTAAGAAGATTTCGTCAAATTCGGAAATCAGAGGAGCAAAGTCCGTTACGAAAAAATGCGATAGAAAGGTGAAAGAAAATTAAAACTTTTTCTCTCTTTATGAGTTAGATTAGGATTTGTTAATTTCTCTATACAAATTATGAATTTAAATTTTCAGGCATCATTATCCTTACTCTGTGCATGCCTATTATGAATCTTCAACAAATACGATCAGTAAGTATTATTATTATATACAAATACTTATACATACATGAAAAAAATTTTTTTAATTTATTCTAAAAATTAGTAATCGTGGGACAATATGAATTTTAAAGTATTTTATATAATTTTTTTTATTTACTAATATATATTATGATAACATATTAAATATATTTGATTAAAATTTAATAAAAAAATCTTATAAAATTTATTTCAATAATTTATTGTTAATTAATATTAATTTTGAAAAATGTTAAAAAGTGATGAAGTTTTTCATAAAGTTTTATTTTTTAAATTGGAAAAATATGTGCATGAAATAGTATAAAAATATAAGACATAATTGATAATATTAAAAAAAATATATTATTTTTATATATATCTATATAATATATTATAGATATATATAAAAATATATATCCATATTAAAGAATAAATACAGAAATAAAAATTTTACTATAAAATTTTACTATACAATTATTTGTGATATTTACACAAATGCTAAATATTATCCCAGAATTACTAAGAATATGGCAAAATTCATAGTATTAAAATAAAATTTAACAAAAAATTTTCTCCATGTCAATATTAAACAATTTTAGTAAAATTGCTCTTGTTATAAACATGAAAGGAATACCATTAGTTATGATGACATCCTGGACATGGTCATGGGATGGTGGACCTGCTTATGCGGTTCATGCTACGTTAGGATCAGTTATCGCTCATGAAATTCTTCATGCCTTTGATTTTCACCGTCGTAAATCGCTCATAGATCCTGATTTAAATATTGACGAATGGCTTTGGATTACACCGGATTCTTGGAAGCGATTGGAAACTAGAATAGAATGTGTTGTGAGATTCCATGCCAGAAGTTTCTGGCGTAAAGTTCAATCTTATGGAAGTGATGTTGCTGTACAGGTGCGTTATAAATTCGGAACAAACTACGAAGATGTTACTCATGAAAAATAAGTGAAATAGAAATATATTGTTCGCATTTCAATTTTACATGTTATGCAGTTCGATTGGAATATGACGAGAAACGAAATTGTTGCGGATATCGGGGCTCTACAAATTTCTCATAGGACTTGGCATACTTTGACGAACGGAAAAGACCGAAGTCTCCCTGGACTAGAAGGGCTTCGTCCAAGTCAACTTTTTTTTATAAGTGCCGCTCAGGTAACGATCTGTCTCTTTTTTTCGATTCTTTTTACTTCTTTTTATTTCTATAAATTCCATATTTTTGTGAATAAATATAACGTTTTCTCCCATCAATTTATTAAAAAAAATATACATGTCCTTATATATATATATTTTCCTAAAAAAATTCTTTATAACAAATATCCAAAATAAATAAAAATTTTATATCTTTATTTTGAAAAGAAATTTAAAAAATAAGAATAGAAATTTAAAAAATAAGAATAGAATAAAAAATGTTTATGTTATTTTTAACATTGAAATATTATATCTGCGTCTCTTTATATCTTTTTTTGTTACCTATATATTTCTTTTCTAATCTAAATTCATATATCATGATAGTCATACATATATCACATATATCACAAACGTTATATATCAAGATGAAAAATTTATGTTTTATCGATTCTGTTTTTTAGATACACTGTGTTAACATGACTGCCGAGGCCTATGTTTCCTCCATTGAATCCAACTATCGCTTACCTCCAGAGAGGTATAAATTTTTTCCCTCTTTCCGATTCGTTATCGAAATTGGAAATCGCGAATAAAGTATAAATAACGAATACTTATACATTTTCAGACTTAACGGTATACTGATGAATTCTCAAGCGTTTGCGGAAGCATTTCGCTGTCCATTTGGAACAAAAATGAACCCTCCTAATAAATGCACTGTCTGGTGATAATTAAACACATATTCGTCGATATGTGAGTATAAGTCGTCGATTTTGCAGTAAATCGCCTATCACTTTGCTTGTTCCGTAACTAGGACAAATCGTGCAGATTGTTTCAGAATCGTAATTCGCAGCAAGAATTAGTGCTATATAAAAGTAGATATTTACTTCGGAAATAAAAAATTTAATTCATTATAAAAGCTGCAGTTATGATATAATTTTGTTTATGAGTCATAATTGTATTTCTTTAAAGATCTCAAATTAATATTAAAATTATTCAACAGACAACTTTTACCTTGTATCTCAAACATGACGTTTTTATTATATTTTATGTTTACTATATTAATTATTACAAATTAAATTACTTTGTTATTAGAAAAAAGTGGAGAGTATCTCTCATTTATTTTTGAAAAGCATAAAAATATATAGATACTCGAATTTTAATAAAAATCGATAATTAAAAATATCGTTTTATTTCAATTTTATAATAATAATATAATAACGTAAATTAATTATTATAATAACGAAAATTAATGTGTTTAATAAAAATTTACAATAACTAATGAAAATTTTTAAAAAATTCTTTTAAGTAAAATAATGCGTTTATTTTCAAGATAAAAGCAATTCAATATAATTAATTTATTTTGTATTGCCTAATAAATTTTGAGAAAGAGAAAATATATATTCATAAAGTGAGACATTAGCTTAATGAATTAATCTTCGAATGCTGGAAAATCTGACAGAAAAACTTATTCAGAGATAATTGTTGTTTTCTTAAAACTATATATTAGGAAAAACACGTAATATAATCTTTTTATTTTTTTTTAAATTTTTATATAATTCTCATATAAGAATAATCAGATAGATAAAAATCATTATTCGCTCGTGAAATAAACATCGACAAAGATAAATTTAAATCAATTGTACATCACACTGAAAGTAATGAATTGCTTAACCAGCTATAACGAATTGTAAAAATTTACGTCGACATATATTTATATAATAAATTGTAATAATTTATATAAGATAGAAACACACAGACAAATACATCTGCAATGTTTAATGATATAAACGCGTTATCAACAAAAAGTGGATTCATAGTATATGATAAACAATTATATAATGCAATAAATTATTAATACGCGTACAGTTATTGCTGTTATTAAAATATTGATAAAATAATTGTTATATTAGTGCTCTCTGAAAAATATAATTGAAGTAACTTATGTAATATAATAGAGATCTGTGATACATTTCCTTCTCGAATATTTCCTTAAATTCTTAATAAATTCCCTTTTTTGTTGATAACGTTACTGATAAGGAAGAAGTAAATTTATTATATATTAAATATATATATTTTTTAGTATATTCTTTCTGCTACAGCTTTAGCTGCAGAGAAGAAATAAGTTGTATTCTCTTAAAATGTTAATCGATTTGCCTTAACTGTATTTACAGCAAGCCGAAAGTGCTTTAATCATAATTTCTTTGGTTAAAAAGTTTATATCGATTTTTCTTTAACTTTTTTTTGTAAATTATTCGTTTAATGATCTTTTCTATAATTCTTTTAATTCTTGATATTAGATATTTTAAGTGAGTATGAATAATTGATATTTTGAGTTATAAATTGAAATTCCAATAATTAAATATATTGAAAAACTGAATAAAACTAGATTTTATTACTAATTGATAATTCAATAACTTATTTTCATTTCAAGCTATAATTTAACGCGAAATATACAAAAGTATAGAAATTATAATAAGTATTTTAGATCTCAATAGCAATCACTCTCGAGACACTAATTTTTTTAATCTTTTATTTTTGAAAGTAAATTAAATATATAAATTATATTATATATTTCTTAAATTAAAATGTTAACGGATTGAGATCTTGCCTTAAATGTCTCAAGTGATTTTTGACGCGATAGCATGGGATATCTTTCCAGAGTTACTGTTTGAGGAATACTTTAGAAATTGTGTGATGTAGGTTGTATGCTATTACACTGTTTAAGAGCTATTTTTATCCGATCACAATTTAAAAAAGTTGCTTTATATAGTTAGGTAATTCTACTGTACAAATACGATTTGTAAAGCTTTCGATTTGAGATGTTTCTTAGGAGATGTTTCAATGATATAATATATATGTATATATTTTTTTCTCGTAAAAAAATACAAAAAAATAGAAGTGTGGAAATGTATGATTTTAGATACATGCAATGTTACGAATATGAATTTTCTGAAACGAGATATTGAACTGGTGATTCTCTCCTTAATACTCCTGATATTTAATTTGTTTTGTTTCAATTTTTATAATTATTAATTATTTATTATAGTTTATTTATAGTATATTTATTATAGTTTATTATTAGAAAACTATATGCAGACTAATAAATGCGTCGCATAAAATGAAAACTGCGTAATTTTTGGAAATTTACAATTTCAAACTTGATATAACATTTACATAGCAGCATAAATTTTGGCTTTGAAACATTTATTATAATTTCTAAATTCTTTTGAATATATATATGTTTATAATTTATGTTAGACGCATTATTGACTATGTTATTGAGATAGTCTACAAAATAATGTGCAAAATAATAAAATTCGTATGTTAAATTGCTAGGATGATTGGACAATTTTGACATTCTCAATTGTCAATAATATCGTAATACTTAATATGCATTTTTTATTTAAAAATTTAATTACATATTTAAAATACATTATAAGTAAAACAATAATATGACACGTTATTTGATGTAGAGATATACAGTAGAAAATATATATAAGATATTTCGAAGATATCGTTTTCAAATGTAAAAAGATGATTATTTTTTATATTGATTATTAAATCAAATATACGAAATTATAATGACAATATTATTTTCATCATAATAATTCGAGAATATTAATTATATTACAAAATATACAGAAAGTATAATATCGATAACACTAATCATATAAAATAATATACATTATATCTAACAATAATTGTGTGACAATTGCCTCTTTTTCGCACTTGAATTAGGAAGACATAGGACGTGTGCGAGAATATCGATTCTGAATATAGGAAAACGTGTTCAATTGTACACGTTTTAATGTATCACATATACAGAGACAAAACTAATATTATGCGGAAGACATTTGTGATAATTTTGTGATATTTTTTACCTGAAATTCAATACTAATGGAAAATATGTAAAAATACGTAATGATTCAAACATAGGTATATATAAACTCATAGTATTAACTATACACATTTGTATTAAGAGAGAAAAACTTGCAAGTTATATTTTCATATGTTTCTTTATATTAATAATGGAGAGATATCTACAGTCTCTCTTGCACTATCTCGACTTATGACTCAATGGTATTCAAAATCTATCGAAATACAAGCATATTGCAATTCCTGAAATATTGAATAATAAAACTTCTCGTGAACTTCAATATAGAACAATTTTAAAATATATCGAACCTCCCACGCGCAGTAGAAATAGAATTCAATTTATTTATATTACTCTTATTAATTCTAAACACTTAAACAAGAAAAATCAATAATATTTTTTATCATTTGTATGATAGCAGTGTAATATAAAAAAATGTAAAAACAAAAATATATTTATATAAATTAAAATTTTATTACTATATGTTGAAGTTTATTATTAATTAAAGAGCAAATAAATTGTGAAAGATCAACGCATGCTATAAATGCTACAATTTGCACTTTATGTTAACAGTGATTGCAATAATTATAATACAGCACACGATACAATTATATGCTCTATTAGTACCTTGTTTAAATGCAGAATGTAATTACATTTAAAAATATATGTAAAAGTATATTATATTTAATTAAATTTAACATTAAATTACTTTTTTAAGTTAGACCGCACTAAACAATTTTGTATTATATTAGTTATAAATAAATTAAGAAACGTTGCTATATACGATATGTGTAATATATTTAAAGAAAGAAAACAGTATAAAAAAATATTAAGTATTAATTATTACACATAAAACCTACAAAATTGGACACATATGAGTCAAATGACATAAGGAAGAGTATTTGATATTAATATTACTTTTATATTATTGATATTAATACTATTAGAATGTTATATTAATTGGAATGTTGATTTTAATGCTATTATGTTAATCTCTGTCATTTAAATTAAGCAATTCTGTTTATTCTTGCAGCGGTTTATTCTTTTTTTGATATATTATATTAAATATGTTTAAATATTATCATAATCAACGTTTCCTGCTTTTGAAGCTTCTATAAATTTTGCAAACTTTTCATAAGAGCATTTGTGTTCCTCAATAAACCACTGACCTTTCATTTCATCCAACCAGTCCATCTGAGATTGAGTAAACAATGCGATTAATAAATAATTAATTTTCTCAGGTGCGAAAAGTCAAGTTAATATAATTTTATGCCAGAAGCATATGTTAAATTGTAATATAAATAGATTTGATGTTAGAAAAATGGGATTTTTGTTACCAAACTTATTAACACTATTTAGAAGATTACTTTTAATAACATTTACCTTTTAATAACATTAATAATTTAGTTTTATGTAAATAATTAATCATAATATTATACAATATTAAAGAAATGAGTTTTTTGAGAAAAATATATTGCTTGTACTGTGAGCAAATATTCAAGAGATTAAATTGTGATAAATGTTTACCCAAATTATTGATAAATATAAAAAACTATATTAAATGTATACTTACAAGATTAGGAAATCTCTCATTGTCAAGACTTGCACGCCGTTTGTAAAGTATAGTCAGAGCTTTTGCACGCTCAAACCAGGGCCACATAAGAATATCCAACATACCAGGATTATTTCCTGATAAAACAAACATTTTATAAAATAAAAAGAATTAAAACTGTAAATTAATAATATTTCATAAAACAAATCTTGTTTATTATTATTCGAAAGACTAATAAATAAAACATAAATTAATAATCCTGGTATGAGGCATCTGAAGAAAAAAAAGAAAGTTATACAAACCTCCAAAAAATGGTGTCTTACGTATACCAAGTTCTTCCTCAAATTCTTGTAAATTGTCCTTTGTTTCAACTACAATTTCTTCAAATTGTCTCTTATCTTTGTCATGTATGCAATTCGAAAAAGTGTTTATAATCTGTAGAAATAATATTTATTAGAAAACTGATTATTTTATTCCTCGAAAAAAATTAGATTAATGTTATTATTAACACCTTAGAAAAATGATCTAATAGTTCTAAATCACGACTTTTTGTTTTATCGTTGTATAAAGGAGGCGCAGGATATTTTTGATCCAAATAGTTTGCTATTGTAACAGAATCTGTTATTATTGCATCATCTGTGTCTACATAAGCTGGTACTTTGCCTTCTGGATGAATCTAAAACGAAAATATTTTTGTATAAATAGGAAGAAAAAAACTATATTTGTCAATTAAAAATAACTTGATACATACTTGGAAATACCAGTCTGGTTTATCCTGTAAATTAATATTGACAATGTCATGAGGAATTTGTTTTAGAGTGAGTATGAGTCGTACTCTGTGAGCAAAAGGACAATATTTCATACTGTACAAACGCCCTTGATTCTCTATTGCCTCTGGCTTTTTGGAGCCTAAAACAAAAATTAAGAGAGAACTCAATATAGGCTTCACTGCCAGTACTAAAAATCTATAGTGTATGTAATGTAAACTATAAATTTTCAGTACTGGCAGTGAATATCGAAATGCAACCATAATATCTCAGTTATGTGATAAATATTTCTCTTATTCTTTTTTTAGTGATACTGGACAGGATAGCTTGCTGTGATTATATATAACTTATAAAGTTTTAAATAAAATCAACTCAGAGAATGTATGCAATTTCTGTGTTTCATAATCTATTCAAAGAAAGCTGTGCATAACTTTAATTTTGTCTAGAATTTTAATGTGTACAGATATCCATATAATTTTGATTTTTTATTCCTTAGATAGCATTTCCAGTTTGTCCTTTAAGTGTAGGATATAACAATTTTGTTTGATGAGATCTGAAAGCTAAGGTCCATTACACTGCGGGAATTTGTGAATATTGTGTAAGTTCTTCAGAAGCAATAATTTTTATACAACATAAAATGTCTACAGTTTGGACAGTGTATACAAAAACATACGAAGAGATCCTTAATACTATTTGCAAAGAAAGTAGATTGCAAATCCCATATAGTGTCCTGTTTCCCATTTTTGAGACATCCACTACTGCAAAGAATATGAACTGTGTCAAAGAAATATAGAATGTGTGAAAGTCTAAATGAAGGATAAACTCTAAATATCGCAATATAGGATTTGTATTTTTTATACTTAATAAAGAAGAAAAATATAAAGAAAATTGTGTTCGAAATATTGTATCTATCTCGTCACACCTAACCATTATTAAACTAAATTCTCCATAAATACTCTCATAAGCAATTTATAGATGTTAATTAATGAGCAGATGAGAACTAACATAATCCCATCTTTTTAATTCAAATTGATTAGAAATAACATTGTTACGTTTAATTCATCAAAATGAGATAAAATTAATTTTTCAAGAATTTTTAAAAGCCAAGAGGAGAAAGATTTTGATTGAAATTTTTCTGGGAAATTTTTTGGAATTACAAATATTAATAAAGTGATGCCAAAATTCAGGAAATTTATTCTCTTAATATATAATTACGAATATTAAGCGCAAACATTTAGCGATGAAATGTATTGTTCTGGCAGCAAAAGATGATTTAATCTCTTCGATCAATTCCTGAAGATCTGATTACGATTGATTTAATAACAGAGATTTAATTTCTTTCAAAATGAAAGGTTTTTCAAAGATTTTATATGTGCTCAGGAAATCTTTAATATGTTTGAAGAATAGATGCAAGATATTTGTTTTTAAAATATTTTCCAAATGTATGAAATAGGATGGGATAAGTGAAAGAGCTACGAAGAGATTTTTAACCTTGATTTTTGGCTTTTTTAAAAATTTGGTTTGCGATAAATTCTGTTCTCTTTCTTTCCAAATAATGAAATAAAGAAGGATTTGATAACTAGCTAACGTGTTTTTCTTCTATCATGCCTCATTGCATTTCTCATTCTACCAAAGAGGAATGCTTTTTTCTCCTGAAAAGGAAATAAATTTCTTAATAGATCTCTTATTAAATTTTTTCAGTGTATGGGTTCAGAAAGACTTATTTGTTTAATGCAAAATATCATATTTCTGAATCACACTTTTGTATCGATAAGAATTGAGAGATATTTGACAAATTTGAATAAATTACTAATATAAACTGTTTGCGTGTCACAATTTTCTGAAATTTTACTCTACAAAAAATATTCAACACCTTTTAATTAAATCACTGATGTCAATTAATATGGGAATATGACTGTCATTAAACGAATCTTTTGATAAAACATTTCAATCATAACAGTGAAAGAGATATAAATATTAAATCTACTATATTGGAGAATTGTTAACCTGGATCAGAGTTGCAGAGCCATCGTCAATGTGATTAAATGAAAATTTTTACAAAAGAAGGAGAGTATGACAGGCATTGCCAGTTTTGTAAATAATATACTTTATAAAAAGATATTCTCTCTAGGCTTGATTGTTACAACAATTATTTACCATTAGCCATGTGCGAGGAACTGGAGGAACTCATCTAAATAATCCCTTCACGACACAGACAACTGATATTATAGATTGTCGTAATTCGATAAATTTTTTTATTTTGATTACAGTAAAAAAGCGTACGACACACACAGTGTTGTTCTCAGAGACGCCTTTCTCTCCCGCGCATGCGCAGCATAATGACAGCAAAATCCAGGGATGATGCCCGCAGCGAATAGGCGCGAAAATCTTAATTGATATACATATTTATTATATATTTTGCAAATCTAAACAAAAGGTTGCAATTATTTAACATATATGTTGATGCATATTTCTTTCGTTGATTTTTATAGCATTTTTAAATTGTTTTTAAGAATATAAGATCTAAATGCGCTCCTTTTTATTATGAATTTGATGATACTTGAATAAGGTCACGTTCAGTACGCAAGCGTGAAGAAAAACGTCTTTGACGAACCGCTAATATCAATAATTCAAAAGATCATGAGTTTTTCAAAAAATGTGACAATATACTCGTACTTTCTATCATTAATATTTCAATATACCTTCATTATTAATATCCTTCTGCGAATGACCATAAAATCACGAGAAAAATTAATTAATGCTGCTAATGATTAAAACTCTTTAGAAAATGAGAGAAAATTTTTTAGAGATGGAGATTTAATATTCTTAGCTTTGCTCCCAAAGACAGCTTGAAAAATTGTAAATATATCAAATAATTTTTTACTTTTTTGTTGACAAATTTAAAATAGAAAGAAGAGAAGAAAGAAACTTTGTTTTTCTCTTGTTTTTTATAACCGAAATCAAAATTTAGAACGATATGTTAGATAATGGCTTAAAATTTTTTAAATATGTAAGCTTTTCTGAACTTTTTTGTTTCAATATACTTTAATAAATTTAAAATAATTTTAATTATTTAATTATTTTATTATATCGGTAAGTGTGTGTGCGAAAAGTATGGTTATTTATTTTAATCGAAAGGTTTCATAAGTATTATACATTATGTAAAACAGATATTTTTACAATCAATATATTGCACTTTTAATATTCTTAATCTTTTTTATTCATGACAAGTAAAATTCTTTACATGCACGATACAACAAATAAAGATTTTATAATCTTTATAAAGTCATTTTGTATTGATAAGTTTTAATAATTCTAATCTTTTCACTTTATAAATATTTGATTTTAGTAAATCTTTTGATTTAGCCACTGAATCTATCGAAAGAGAATAATATTACAAATATCTTTGGTTTTTGAGAGAATTATATATTGAAATAATAATAAGTACTACATTATATAATCGAGATATATAATCGACTTATACATATTTAGCAGTAAATTGATCTTTGATATGTCAATTTTTTTAAGTAATTTGAAATTTAATCAAAAATACGTGTATAAATTTGTTAAATTAGTTATAAATTTTTATTAATTTTTCCGAAAAAACTATAAGATACTAAAATGATCGAAAAATACAAATTTTGCAAAATATTTTAAAATATTTTCTTTTCATATAAAGTAAAGGATTCAAATATCCTACTTTAATATAGTGAATATATTTTACATTATATTTTATCATAGATTTTATAATAGTATAACATTTTGATGCTTAATATTTTATATAATATAATGTACTAAATTATAAAGTATAATATAATTACAAAATATTATTATTTTGAGATTTATACAACTACAGGTTGTCTTTTAGTTTCTAATCATTTTTAATTATTTATCATGCATTCCTATCCAACATATCCTTTTTTTTTGAGTCCTTGGATTATTATGGCTCACCCCTAAACATGATGACGTCTAAAGACATACTATATGACGTTATTAAAATGTTATTAACATCTTTAGATATCATCATGTTTGATGGGTCGTATTTCTTTGTCCCAATTCAGATTATAAAAACTTTTTCCTTCCTGTAAAGTTTATCAGATACTTTCTGTGGCTATTGTCCTTAGGCACAGGTTCTTAAAAGATGTGCAAATCTGTAATCATATAATCTCCTTTTCTCTATTTAATTACTTTCTCCTTTGTTTTCATTTTATAAAATACATATATATATATATATATATATATATATATATATATATATATATACACACATAATTTTTGTATCTCTGTTAATGACTCTTCCCCTATGACCCTGTCCGGCATAAGTGATCCGGCCGGTATTCATAATTCACTCTTATATTTAAGATCATCTTAAGTAAATTGAAAAATGTCATAGCCATTTTACTAATTGGACGGAATCTTAAAATGCGATTTAAGATCATAATTAAAATGATCTTATTGTAAATTAAAATGATCGTATTGTACTCTACAATGATAATATCAATATTAATATTAGATTATAATATCAATGATAATATCAATATTAGATTATAATTAAAATAATTATAATTATTTACATATAATAATTAAAATAATTATAATTATTTACAATTTACAAGTTTATGATGCTATCAATATCAAATAAATATATTCAATTTATTAAAGTGTTTAATAACATAAATAATTTAATACTGACAGCATTAATATTTGGATATAATATTATTTAACTGAATAAACATATATTTTTAATATATTTATGAAATAAAATATAACATATTAAGATATTTCTTAAACATTAATAATTATACAATGTCTTTAATATTCCTGAAAATTTTGAAAATTTACATTTCATTTTTAAAACATTTTTATTTTTATTTTTAACATATTATATTTATTTTTACAACTGCTCGAGAGCCACTGAGCGAATGATCGTAAGTCAAAAACATTACCGCAGTACTGTTTATATTGCCAAGATTGACTATGTAAAGAAGGAATTTTTTTTTTAATATATGAAACGTCTCACATCATTACTGCTCATCACATCTTTACTGCTCAAGGTTACTGTGCGGATGACCATAAGTCAAAAACATTATCGCATAAAATTCTGGAGCTCTAACATCCACTTCCAAAAAATATATAACAACAAAGTTAAAATAATGAAGTTCACTTACAATTAATCTAAAATATAACTCAAATTAGTTTATTAGATTTAATAGATATTTTTTTTAAATTATAGATTCATAATTCATAATTTTACAAAATAAATTTCTATCAATCTATTTCTCGTAAGGCGAACCTCTCCTTCTTACGTAATGCGTGATTAATTTTTTTTGTCTAGTGGAGAAGTACGATCAGATAACAACCTTATTGAGTGTGCACGACTAATACATTCCAGAAGGAGATTGAAGAATAATGCGTGTCGTTTAGAACAACTTAATTATAATGGGTATCGCATGGGCCATGGCAAGGCAACGCGTAGTTATTTTATTTCTTCAAAAAAGGAAAATGCAACGAGAAATAAGTGGACAACAGACATAGGATTTAATTATTCTTAATAATGATCGCAGGATATATGTACAGCGATTCGACTTACGCAAATAAAAGTGCTGCGAGGATGATAATAATGATCTAATCACTCTTGGAAGTATTTGTACGAGGTCTATATATAACTTGAAGCAAAAAGGGTACGTATAAACATGTATTTAAAAAAAATGTGTCAATTAAAACTCTGATCATGTTAACTGCATTTTCTTGCATTGACAATCGAGAGAGATCGAATTAAATTAAGTCTCTCTCTCTCTCTCTCTCTCTCTCTCTCTCTCTCTCTCTCTCTCTCTCTCTCTCTGCCCCTCCCTCTCTCTCTCTCTCTCTCTCTCTCTCCCTCTCTCTCTCTCTCTCTTCCTTCTTTCATAATAATTCCAAATAATTTGTTTCAATATAACAAGCTTAATATGTGTATAGTATATTGTGTCATACTATATTTCTTTTTCTTGTATAACTATTAGGTATTAATAGGACTAATTCTATACAGAATATAAATTTTGTAATGTTATCTTTTCAGTCTTATGCAGTTTTTAACCAATATAAAACATATATATGTAGATAAGATGCTACTTCCGCATATACAAAACATATATATGTAAATAAGATGTTATTTCCGCATATATTATAATACAATGATAAATAATAAATAATATATTTATTATTTCTATTTTATTCCTTAAGTAAAAATGTTAGACTACAATAAAAAAATTATATATAATTATTAAAATTAAATTTTAAAATTCGAACACAAAATATAGTATTTAATTTATGTATTTTTATTTAGATTCTTCCTTATCTATGCTTCCTGGTGCCTTGCGTGAAAAATATGACAGTTGATAATAATAAATTATAGTTATAATATAGTATTTAATTTATGCATCTTTATTTAGATTATTCCTTATCTATGCTTTCTGGTGCCTTGCATAAAAAATACGACAATTGATAATAAATTATTAAATATTTACTTAATCATATTTCAAACAGATATAAGCGTTTTCAGTTTAGATGAGATCAAAAGCGATCGACATTGTTATTCTAACAAAATATATTAAGAAGACAAGACGTGCATTCCCTAATGTAAGTAATTGTATATTAATCATATTTTTATTGTATAAATTATTACAAAATATATATATTATCATTATTATAAAATATTTAAATTTTATAATTATTATAGATTTAGTTGAAATATGGAGAAATTTCAATGTGATCTAGGTATTGCACTAATATTTTGTTTCGGTTTACTTACAACATGTATTGCAATACAATCACAAGGCACGAAGTTACGATTAGTGAGTGCGGTACGATGTAAAAATTAAAATTTTGTCAAAAAGATTTCTTCTAAAATATTCTATACGATAATGTAAAGTTGAAATTTGCAGATATTCAGACATGGCGATCGTACAATCGAAAAAAACGTTGAATCTTATCCAAATGATCCATATAAAAATTATAACTTTTACCCAGATGGCAACGGTCAATTAACTAATGTAAAATATCTTATTTATATATTACATAACATATTACATACTACATTTTTAACTTTTTCACTGTTAATAAATATGTTACATATTTATAATTTTTGGAAAACAAAAATTACTGTTAAGACAATTTTTTGCACGATATTTTTCATTAAGGCAAATGCGACTACATAAACACATCTGTAAAAACGAAAAAATTAAGCTTTTTCTCATTTCTTTGTTTTCGCGTAGAAGATATTATTGCTTTCACAAATCTTTATCACTTTGCAAGAGAAATTAACAATAAACTGTATTTTCTTTTTCTTCTTATTATTTATATTTTTTAATAACGTTCATTAAGGCTGGAAAGAGGAGAGCGTATCAATTAGGATTGATATTAAGAAATAGATACAACAGCTTCCTCGGAAAAGTGTACTATCAGCCAAATATCTATGCACAGAGTACAGAGGTTGTTAGGACTAAGATGAGCTTAGAGTTAGTTCTCGCGGCACTTTATCCACCTGCTGATGTGCAAAAGTGGAATTCACTGCTTCCTTGGCAACCAGTGGATTTCATATACACTAATGCGACTTATGATACGCTGTTTTATTCATATTTATGCCCTAAGTAATAATTTTTTTTATCAATTAATAACAATAAATCGTCCATCTCAAGTAATATAATATTTAATTATATTAGTGTAAGAAAAAATTTGAACAAATTAATAAAAAAAAGTAAGCCAAACGTAATTGATAGAATCTAGACAAACGTTTATAATAATTCTTTTCTCTTATCGAAACATTTCGAACTACTAAGCAATATTAAGCTAATATTTTAGCATAATTATATATCAGTTAATTATTTTAATTTAATTGTGGCACTTTTTAGCGTTATATTTTAAAAAACTATGCTATATTTAAAGATTATATAATATAAATTTCATAAATAATATTATAATTATAATAATATTAATTATAATAATATTAATTATTTTTCTTCTTGAAATTATTTCTTTAAACTATTTCAAGTATGTTTCTTTTTAGATATATCCGACTTTATTATGACATGTTACAAAATAATGAAATAATAAAAAAAAAAGTAGCAGAGTTTGCTAGTGTAATGAAAAGAGTATCGATCTACACAGGGAGAAATATAACAACAATGTTTGATCTCTTTCTTATACATGAGACTTTAGAAACAGAAACAGCCCTTGGATTACGTTTACCAGAGTGGACGCAAAGCTTCTTTCCAAATGGCGCAATTATGGATGCCACACTTTTACAATATGATCTATTAAGTTACGGCATACTAAATAAACTTAATGGAGGTATGTTTGAATCAAAAACCTATATTTTGCTTATAAATTATCTATTTAAAGAGTATTAAATATTAATCTTCGATTAAATATTATATATTTTGGTTACATATATAACATTCGACTATAAATTCACTGTTCTATTACCTTTCATTCCTCTGGAAAAAATATAACAATAAAAATAATAAGAATAATTGTTTTTAACGTTATAAGTTTTTAAAAAATAGTTATTTTTATTACAATATGTTTAAAATATGAGAGAAATATATTGTCTTTGTAAATAAAAGCATTTTAAATTACCGTTTTAGATTTCTAGAATACAGATAATTACCAAGTAAATTCTGATTGAGAAGAAAATTGAATTTATTATTTTATAAATTATTTTATTATTATATAAAAGATTGATGCACATCTTGGTGTGTTATAAAACGTTCATATACATTAACAAATATCATATCTAAATATGTGTGTGTTTATCTGTACGTATATGTATATGTATTTTTATATTTTTATAATATATTCGACAAGATATGATTTTTTACAGGTGTATTATTACGTAAAATAATTGACAATATGAATGAAGTGGTCAATGGAACTTTAAAAGATCGTAAGCTTAATCTTTTTTCTGGACATGACTTGAATGTGGCCGCCATAATGCACGCTTTAAATATATCCTATGAGAACGTTCCACGGTACACGAGCAGTATTATGATAGAATTGCATGAAAAGAATGGCGAGTTTTTTGTTAAAGTAAGTCTAATTTCTCGTCCGTCATTAACACGTGCTTGCCAGTAGCGTGCGACGAATAATATTTTTGCCACTAACACCTAATAACTAATAAATGAAACTGATTTCTTATAGGTGATACATTATTTAGGCATTCCATCAACATTGATAGAAAAACGTATCCCTGGCTGCGAAATGTTATGCCCATATGATAAATTTATACAATTAACATCGGCATCAACTGTGATGAAAGATGAATTGGAATGTCCAGAATTATTCGTTCGTTAATTCTAATATTTGACGATTTGATTTTCGATTGTTTCTGTTAATTTTTTCACGATACAATAATTCATATGTTAGAGATTTTATGGAATTAACTATATATATATATATATATATATATATATATATATATATATATATATACATACATGTATGTATATATATAGTGTATGTATATATATGTATATATATATCGTATTTTATCTTTGCGAAGAAAAACATTTAATTTACATAAAATCGAAACAGAAATAAAGTTAATCAGGTTAATACATTTCAGGCAAGTGGAAAGAAGGCGTAGCTTCTCATTATTATTATCGATTTGGTTTTATTTGGATCAAATAATTTGTGAAAAAAATAAAATTATAATTTGATAATCTCTTTAATCTTACACGATGTGTAAGAGATATTATAAGAATGTTGTTTTCTGTCGGCTAATACAACGGATATTTATTATACTCTTCTTATTATCCTTTTCCGCTTGCGTACCGTTGAAAATTAGATGCTCAGGCGAAAAGTTAAATTCGTTAAATATGTCCAGAGCCATATCTTATTGAAGACACGGAGCTCAGATCGTCCCTTTATTGTATCGCATAAAAATTAACCTATTATTTCACATACACTCTCAAGTATATGTACTTCGTCTATACACTATATATTTCCGTTCCTCTATACTCTCCCAGCTTCTATTGATATTAAATCTTTTCGCGCATCGCGTAAGCAGATATCAGCACCAAAGTTTAATTTGTGCACCTATGTTATTATCAATTACGTCGGTAATATTTACTCTATTTAATTGCAATGTTCAATTATTATACATAAAATGTATTTACTATTGAGAAAGTCATTTTTTCAAAAAAATGCTCTGTATAATTTCTCATATATCATGTAATAAAATAAAATAAAAAAAGCAAAAATATTCTTTATTAAAAATTTTTTTCCGACAGTATTATCTATTGTGTTTTCACTTGTGACTGTTATAAATCTAAAATTAATTGATTTTCAATAAGCAAATTTTTATTTTTATTCACAAATTTTAAGGAAACGGCTAATTGAACAATATGTATACAATTATACAATATGTATACATATGTAACTCATCTTTATTACTGTCCGTCACTTGGCGAGAGATATCTCGTGTTTTTTTAATTTTAATGACATAACTCTTGACGTAATCCATAAAACTTCAGAATTTTACACGAGTACAAAATATTGAGAGTAATTTTCAATCTAAAATTAACTATATATTAACGTGTATTGATCTTTTGTTTTAATTTTGAATTGACTTATTGTTAGCTTACACTTGCCAAACTCTAGGCAGGCAAACCGTCGCAGATAGATTTTATTTGAGGAACTTTAATTCTAAAATGCATAAAAAATAATTTTTATAATAAAGATCAGCAGGTAAATAACAGTTAATTGTAATGTAGTAACTTAATTCTTCAATAAAAGATTAATTATATATTGTCGTCCATTAATGGCTTTGTTTACGAGACACACAAATAAAGAATTTCAGATTTTTATGTAATAAAGGATACTATCTTCTAGTATCATGGAATAAGTATGTAGAAATCTTGATTACTTAGTTAATCGCATCTCTTGATTCTAGCTCTAATTCTATCAAAAATATAACCGCTCATATTCGAGTGTTAAAAAATCAGTATTAAAATCTTAATTACTTAATTTAACAATTTATTAAATCTCTTGATAATTATGTATTCTGAAAATGTAGCAGCTGTCAATTAAAATATTACAATCTTAATTACTTCGTTAGTTTATGTCTCTTGATAATTCTCTCGAAAATGTAATAGCTCTTAATTAGAATATATAATTTATTCTGTCTACATTAATCAAATTATTTGCTGCCTGACTTGTAATTATGTAACTTGATATGAGACACCATTAGTCAAATTGTTTATTATTTAGTATTAATTAGTATTAAAGCTTATTGAGGAAACTTTTACTTTAAACCGTCGTACAGATTTATAGCTAAATTATAGTTTCAACGTTGTCGGATGATTCGTTATTTCAATAGTAATCTTGCTTCATGGCTCATGTAAGTATATTATATGCGCTCATCTATCATATATCTTAGAAAAAGATATCGCGACTAAACTAGATACAGTATTAGCTTGCTCTAGAATCTAAAGAGATAAAAAATCGAATATAATATTACATATTTATTTTATATTACATACTTATACTCGCCGATGTTGTTCTGACAGTGCAACAGTAGTATATACACTTATTAGAGTTATTAATATGCATATGTTTGTCAATCATTATTTTTTAATAATTTAAAATTTATAACTTTAATGTACAAATTATTAAAACTTTAAAAACACGAGAATTAATAGTGAATAAAACTAAAATTTTTTTTTCAAAGTTTACTGTATAATCACAACTTAAATATTGTCTAAATATTAATTAAAATTTTGATTTAAACAAATACCTTTTTATGTGCTATTGTGCAGAGTTATTTCTTTATATTTATTCTTTATATTATTTTATAAATTAAAATATTGATTAAATAATATACAGTACATACTTATTACTAGTTATATTGTTTTGCTAAAAATTCTCAAAAATTTTGTAATAATTTATTTCTTTTTATAATGATATTTGTTACAAACATAGTGATATTTCAATCATGTTAAAATGATCTCACAACTTAAAAAAATTGTTTTTATGTATTTCTATATTCTAGGCTTCATCAGGTATTACTGTTATATGTCGAGTTATTTTTGGTTATTCGTAATGAGTTCGACATGTGGCGAGCATTCAAGCAAATTATCAAGTATATAATTTTGTCTATAACATAAATTAACTTTTATATAATTAATATATATTATATAATATATAACACAAAACGTGATAAAATATATGTGGTTTTTATTAAATAAATATGAAATATGCCATTGAAAACGTTGTGTATGTACATATATGAAATTTATTTACATCATACTAATCTATTTGACTTTTAGCTTCATGGTCATAAATGTGTTATCAACAATCAAGAAAATTGCAAATTCTTAGCGAGAGTCAAGATTAAATGTAAAGTAAATTTCGCTTTGTCTTGCAAGGTAAATGCGTGAACACAATGGATTTCGTCTCGTTCCTCTACGGAGCTTTACTTCCCGAAAATATACTTAACCCAAATCAAATTTTAGTTGCAAATCAGAAATAGATTAGGAACTCTGTCGTTCTGTATCGTATTTAGTTTTACGAATGTCTATTTGCATGCAAAATTTTACGTTAATTCCTTTGTATTGATGGTTTCTATAATATAATGCCTTTAATCAGACATTCGTTTCATTTTGAAATCGCTCTGATTGTTTCATTAAAGCAATATGACAATATTTAAGCATAGAAATTTCGAAAATTTCTGTTAAAAAAATTTCTGTTAAAAAAAATTATAAGTTATAAAATTTCCTCGATAGTTCATTTTTCCATTAACATTAATTCTATAAAGATAGCCTATATTTTGCTATGAAAATTAGCTTTAAAATATCTTCCAAATATGTAAGTTCATATAAGTATATCTTGGCGACTAAAATTAATTAATCTAGAAAAGATCCGTCATCAAAATCTATCTACTACACAAAATCTATTTACTTATTTTTTTAGGTTTGGATTAACACCCAGACAACAAGATATATACGCTTCTCATAAAGCAATATTTCGTTGCAGAATTCTTGTGATTGGAAACACAGGCTGGTTATTTTTCTGGACAGAAATGCTAATAGAATGAACAATTATATCGCACCTCCATTATCGCAAAGTTGATTTATAATATAAAGTAGTTTCTTTACTTTCTTTACTTTCAAGAATCTAATATGATGCACGAGGCTTAAATCTAATAACTACGACAGAGAAACGGTTTCGTAAGAAACTTTTGATGATATGACGGAATATTTTATCAAAGGTACGTATATTTAGATGAATATATTTTTACATACAAAAAATTAGAAATCTCTCTTTCTCTTTCAGTAATAATGATACATTTAATGAAATTGAAATCGGTTTCTTGACTCCTGACATTCTAAATATATCTTATAAATAATTATATAAGATAATGGTTATAAAAAATTAATTATTGTAAAATATATTGTAGTTTCAACTTAAAAAATGAGCATGCGGATAAATTTGAATGATCAACAATTTAAGGATTTCTTCTACTAACTGTATCTACTGGCACACACAAAAGATGAACAGAAATCATCATAAGATGCGATTTAGATATGAAGGTAAAATATTTATTTTATTTATTATTTGGTTCTTATTAAATATATAAAGAAAGAATAAATATTTAAAAAAACAATAAAATAAAAATTATACAAATATTTATAATAATAAAATTGATTTACACTATAAATCAGATTAATCAAATGATAATCATATGATTATTTTATCTCTGAAATATAATCTAATATTTAAATAGGAATATATGTTCATTATCTTTTAAGTTATACTCTTTTATATATGAGTGTTTTTTTGCTCTTACACTTACTATACACTTTATATATCTTTGTAGCTATAGTTTTATATTAATATAATTTAATCTCATATTTGTAGAAACAAATGATATCAAAACATAGACATAAGAAATATAGTAAGTACATTTCTGAGAGAGAATAAAAGCGTTTGCTTCAGTTAATGGTGAGTAATATTTGTGGGACATTACTTAATTAATTAACTTACAATGTAGGCTTATTTTAGCTGTACTTTTTTATCTTTTTAAAATAAGAATATCGTCATTATTTTATTCAAAGTAGAATACATAAAATTCTGGAACTCTAACATCCACTTCCAAAAAATATATAACAACCAAGTTAAAATAATGGAGGTTCACTTACAATTGATCTAAAATATAATTCAAATTAGTTTATTAGATTTAATAGTTATTTCTTCTTAAAAATTATAGATTCATAATTTTACAAAATAAATTTCTATTAATCTATTTTTCGTAAGGCAAACCCCTCGCTCTTACGTAACGCGTTGTTGATTCTTCTTATCCAGTGGAGAAGCACGACCAGATAACAACCTCATTGAGTGTGCACGACTGATACATTTCCAGAAGGAGATTGAAGAATAATGCGTGTCGTTTA